TTAGAAGGTATAGGAAAAAGAAGAAGCATAGTATTACTTTTTGAAAAAGTCCACGTCCTCAGACCCACAGTGCATGGCTCGGGGCGCATGTCTAACACTCGTTATGAGATTCATGGCCTACATGTGTTTGCTCCACGGCCTTGTAAATGGGCGCGGGGCGTGCTGTACAGTGTGGTATGGCCTGGTATGTACTTTACGTGCTGGGCAGCCCTGTGGGCGTGCCTGGGCAAGACCTTAGATGTTGATGTAGTTGTAGTTGGGGCTGTAGTTGTGCAGCCGCCAGCAACAGCAACGGCGTGAGGTGTCCTTGAAGCCATTTTCTTATACATATAAACGGATTCTGGTCTTTCAGTTTTTTTCTCCTTTTTTTGTTGCTTTCTTGCTGGCTGGGCTCTTTCATTTTTGTAGTCGCTGCCAGGGCCACCCAGATAAAATTTTCAACCAGGAAGTTGGCTTCCTGTGGCGCTCTGGTTGTGATTCTGGTTCTGGTTGTGCTTCTGGTTCTGACTCTGGCCATGGCCGGTCCGCAATTTCTTTCATATTTTGTTTTGGCCATTACATTGGCTACTTTTGTCGGTCATGGTGCACGGGGGCTTGTATAAGCCATGGCCGCTGTTTGTATGGTGGTTGGTGAGCGACAACATCGCGTTGGCTATTTTCATTTTCATTTTCATTTTATTTTTCTTTTGATTTTGATTCCATTCATGGCGGCATTCGGCTGTGATTTAATTTCAGAAATGTGACTAAAATGTGGGAGTGAAAATTACGGAATAAAATACAGAATGCCTTGTGTGTATGTGGGGGGCAATTCAATTTGAAATCACTCGCTTAAAGCTATTAAAGTTTGACTAGGAATAAAGAGCTCGCTCAGCTGGGGCCGCCTTTGATGCCTATATCCTTGTGACCAAGGCCAAGCAATTTGTCTCCCAGAGGAGGTTCAAGCCATTTGAAAGTCTCTTCTTTCCACGGTGGATAAGTTCTTACATGCATGCAGCTTGTGTTCAGAGGGATATGGAATTACAAGCCCAGAAACGGCTCAAGGACCCAAAAGAGGCCACAATCGACCATTTTTCTTGCTCCCTCCAATGTTGCGTGCCCTTCCGAGTTATTTGAATTTCACGCGCGCATTCACTGGCAGGGATAAACTGGATTTATATCCGCTAATGCCTGTGATTTGTTCTATAAAATTACTTTATGCCCCAAACATGCCGGCGGACCTTGTCTGCCTTTTATTTCGGCCTTTGTTTTCGCTCCCGGATCGAGGGCAGGGCGACGGACGAAGGACAGCCCAGGAACAGGTCCCGAATAAAGCCAGTGCTTACAGTTTCTGAACGAACGCCTCGGCAGCATAACGACTTATGGCCTTATCCTTTTCGTAGTCCTAGTCCGGAGTGGGTAAATGCCGGGTGTTTGCCGTTTTATTGTTTGGCTTATGTTGCTGATAGTGTTCCATGGTTACGTTGTATGTGTGGGGTTGTATGTGCTTTGGCTAGGAAAATGTTTGCTTTGTGCGGTCAACTTTAAAAACATTGTGGACTTTTCCTGCCAGTCACGACCGGTTGGCTGGCTGGCTGACTTCGTTTGTGTTACCAATCAAGCATGCATTTAAATTGGAAAGCCACGTGGCCACAAATCAATTAGAAAATGGCAAGTCCACTGCGATAAGTCATGGGACGTTGAAAATTATTGACAGTCACGCCCAGCCTTCAAATCCTCATCAGACCGGGGCAGACAAACAGTCGTAATGAGGACAGGAAATCATTTTGGAAAAGTATTGGTTGGGGGGAGATAGATGACAGGCGGCCAGGATGGAATGCCCATACCAATGGCGTCTTGGCAGCTGCCCGTGTCTAATGAACCCCATGGAATGTGAATGCCCCGAGCATTGTCTGCCACTCTGCCATAATGACTCCTAGCAATCGGGACACCGGGGAGCATTCAGCAGGCCAACTGACAGCTGAACAGGCCAAGACAGCTGACCCCTACTCGATATTATTGGATGTCTTTGGATCAGGCTACACTAGGATTAATATTTGCTACATCAGCAATGTCCATTTGAAAGAAAAGTCTTAAATAAACGAACAAGAAAATTCACAAATGTTTGCGAGTCATAAATATTCCTTTTTGAAGAATTTCAAAATGAAACATGAACAATTTTTACATTATCTAATATCCAGTCTTCATAATTTATTTAGAAATTTATTTAGAATATTAATTCAAAACACATCAAGATAAATAGCCCTTTAAAGAGAATTCATGAATTTAATTTATATTAGCATCATTTCTGAACATTTCTATCTTTAGACATACAAATATTCCACTTAATAGCACCCTATCAAATATTAATATGAAAGGCTGCGGAATCGAGATATTTATGGCCATTATTATTTTATCGTTTCATTGTTTGACTTTATTTTAATTAGCGTAAAAAATTGACCACGAACAAAGGAGACTCTTTAATTATAGTGGCGTGTCCATGTGAACCATGGTCAATCAATCATCTGTCCAGTTGAAGCTCTTAAATTATCCAGCGGCAAACAATTATTGACTTTAATAGTTCGGCCATTAATCATGGCCTTGGCAACACTATACAAATCGAATGGAGAACTACTCAAACTTCTAGCCAGTGGTCAGTGGTCCTGTGGTCAGCAGTTTAAGTTGAAGTTCTGTGGATGGGGATAAACATTTATTATGCTATCGGTTTGTGGTCAGCTGTGTGTATTTTTGAACACCTGTGTGCAAGTTTGTCTAATGACGGTGCGGTGGGCGGAGGCAAAACATTCGAATATCGAAAATGAATATGGAAGCCAATAAAGTGGCAAACCATGAATCTCTCCGCAGCACTTGAATTTTATCCACTGCCTGAATTGGGTTTGTGGCGATAAATATCAATTTCCTACGAGGCCTAATCTAGTTGTTAAAGTCAAATTGAAGGCATTGCAGAGCACCCGCACCATTCGAAAAAGTTGCCCACTTTGGCTTGTCTTGGCGCACAGAGCGTTGATTAATGTTGATTGATTGATTATTTGCGTTTTTCTGACATGATGCACGCTTTATTGTCGCTCAGCTCGTGGAAAATCATCAATTTCCGCTTGTAAAAAAGCGAACCAACACGGCGGGAACAAAGAAACGCTGTTCGTTTTTTCTCCTACCAACCGAACAACCAACCAACATCCATCCAGCCAGTGAGCGGTGGAAATGTTAAGCCTCCTGCCAACTCGTCTCGCAGCTTGTTGCTGCACACAGCCCAAAGGATCTGTGGCTCCCCTCTGCCCTTTTTTTTGTTACCAGAGTTAGTAATGAATTTTTTCTGCGCCCATCTGCCAGACAGTCAAAGTCAGCGGAGCATAATTGCGGTTGCTGAACATCTTGTCAGCGGTCGTGCAGTTCAAATTCGTTATTCCCGCGCAGATATTGGCCAGCTGCCAGGGCTGAAAAATGACGAGAAGTATTGGGACATAAATGTCGAAAAAAAGAAAGCCGACATGATTATGGAGCCAACAGCTCCTGGAAAGTCAGACAAACCATCGGTGTCTGATGACTGACAGTGGCTCATTTTGGGGCGCCTCCAGCTTTGGGCTGGCATCATCATCTCCTCCTGTTGCGGCTGTGGTTTGGCTTTCGGTTTGGTAGGACGAGCCCTGCCTTTGGTCCTGGACAGCCGACCGGGTCATGATTGAATTTTCGCAAATTTCGGCTCGTTAGCGTGCGGCACGAACACGTACGTCATGCGGGGGGCTACGATACCAGGCCGCTGAATGCTCGCCATGTTTATGCCATGTACTGCAACAAGTTGCCAACGGTTTCGGGCCTCCATTCGTCGATCCATACATATATACATTCGTATTCCCTATATACATACATATATATGTACACTTGACACGCTTCATTTCATTGGGTTTTGTCCTACTCGTTTTTCGTTATCCGATTATTTCCATATTTTTCGCGCTGTCAGACACGTTTTTTACTTACTCAGTCGTTGACATTTTGCGTGACTGACGATGGACGCGTGGTGTGAATAAATGAAAATGGAAGCGAAATAGCCGCCATTGGATAGGGCCTCCAAATGGGGGCAATGTGTTTGCCCTGGGCCACTTGGTGTCTTAATTATGATTGCGAATGGCGGAAGCGCTGCCACATTCAAAATTAATTTATCGATTTTCAAGGAGTAATATCCAAAGTGAATTGAGAAAATTGGCATACTAAAAAAAATTCCTAATTTTCAATGGTTTTTCTTCTGCCTTTGCCAAATTGTCATTTTCCTGGCACATCCTTAACATATGCAACGTTTTTATATACCCACAAAATCACCAAAAAGGACTTCATTTAAACGCCTGTTATTTGGCCTGAACACATACTGAATGTCATCAACTGCAGGGCAGTCCAGACACCGAAATTACGTATACGCAGCGTGAGCCGGGAGCGGTGGTCAGCCATGTGTGTAAACTGCGGACAAATATAAATTTTCAATTTTTTTTAAAGCTCAATTCAGTGCCAGCACCTTGGTCGTTCGTGCTGGTTGGGAAAATGTCGTTTAAATGCCACCCGGATAGCCCCCACCAGCCACATCCTTGGTGTGAAAAATGGATGGTGGGTGACTCGACCAGGGGGGAGGGCTGCAAATATTTGACACCCTGGCTGCAGGGACGAGGCACTCACACCGGTATGCAGGCGCAAAAATTTCTCATGTGCACTTTGGCAAACAAATTAAGATTTATTGAGCCAGGTCGAAGGACGATGCTTGGTAATCTGCCAGTTGAGTGGAGTATCTTTCATCCGGAGGGCAGCCGCAATTTGGAAATTCCGTAAAGGTTGCCGTTTTAAATTGCCAGCATATTTTGGAGCCGATCTGGGTTTTTACCAATGTCTCTTCATTCAACCAAGACTTTTAATGGTTTTTCAATTAAACCACAATTGGGAAAACATTGCATTGTGATTGCCCTTTTGCTTTAAGCCCTTTCTTATATTATATTTATATGTGTACCTCTCTTCCATTCCAGATGGACAATCGGATATGAAAGTGAAATTAATGGTGCCCCGGTATGTGGAACGTGGATCCAGTGCCACCTTCAAGTGCAGCCACAATGTCCAGCCGGAAAGACTTTTCAAGGTAAGTGACTGCGGATTGGATTAAGTTCATGTCATGCATGCGAATATAAATTATGGAAAGCGCATTAAAAACTTTAAATTGAAAAATAAAAATTGCCGTCCATGGCGGCCGAGCAAGGCGGGCACACAAAGAAACTTTGTTCGCCTTGTACTATTTTGTGGGCAAAAAGTTTCCGGCACTGTGACAAACACAACCACGACGACGAGCCGTATCCTCCAGGCAAGAAGAGCACGAGCTGGAGCTGGAATTTGCGCAAGTTTTCGTGCCGCAACTTTGTGGCAGTCAAAGGCATCCCGTCTCGCGGACTCAGTCTGCAAAAAGTTGCACTCAAAGTGCCATTCCGCTCCATCGAATCCGATTCCCGTAGTGCGGGGCCGTAAACCTTTTACCGCTTCCGCTTCTCAATATCGACTCAGTCTCAGACGCGGCAATTAATTTCACTTCAGTTTACTTAATTCCATCACGAAACATCAACAGACACGCACTTGCGTACACCAAAATCATTGCCAAGCCTTCGAGCCATTGAGTTTATGGCCAACATACGCGAACCGTCGAAAACTCGATCGAGGAAAGGGAATTTCACTGCTCCTATCCCCCGGAATACACTTTCAATTTAGTTGTGAACTTTTGTGGTTGGAAGCATTTTGAAGTACTATTCACACCGATGCCGATTCAAGGTCGGTCAGCTCGACGTTTTGCTCGCTCTAAGTACCATAAAAAAGCGTACAAATTTTATGGCTCACGGAGGAGGAAGGAGGCATCGTTGGCCAGCATTGGCCGCATATTGATTATTTTTTCCCTGGAACCAAGATGGATTTAGAACACAACCGAATTGACGTTGACGATGCGGAGGTCTTGAGGTGGAAGTGGGCATGTACTTATAAGCGAATGAAATCCATTGTTATGCCAAGCCGAACCCCTCTTGGAAACAGTGAGTACACGGAATAGCATGTCGTGTTTCCGGATCGTCACCCGGGGCAACTTTAAGCCGCCATTCGGTGGTGTCTCATTTGCATGGAAATTTCGGGTATATTTCTCTGCTTCCGCCGTCCGCCGTCTGCCAAAAGTGTCAACTAACAAATTTAATGCGCCGCTGAGCCGCGCCAATTTGAAGAGCTGCTCCGTAGCGGGAAACATGCACAATTAGCAGACCCACCAAATAGCCAAACAACCAAACTGGCCAACAAACATACATACCACTCAAATGTAGACATTTATTTATTTGTCCAGTCGGTTGAGCTGTGGGCAGACCAGGGCAATAGCTAATTAGTATAATTAACTATATAAGCGAGTGCGCTCGGCTCGCCGCCATTCGAATTGTTGCACGAAGCGTGGCAAATTGTGTGGAAGTGGCACTAAAAAGGCAATTAAAACGCAAATGCTAACAGTGACGGGGGCTCCGTTACACATGTAGGACATAATTTTTTTCGCTTTCCCCAAAAAAATGTGGTTATACCTACTCGTATACATTCAAATTAAATAAACTAATTACGGAGTGAGTCCGATGCCTGGCAATCGGACCCGCAATCGGTGCGACACAGGACCCAGTGCTCATTAATGAGCTTTTGATTTACCACTTTTCAGCCTTTGTGTATAGAGAAGAGAGAGAGAGAGGCAGGAGATCTCGTTCTATATGCGGGTTGTAATAAGCCCAAATATAAACAAAAACCCGAAAGTCAAAAGAAATAAAGTCAAGCCCAGGCAGACACGCCAAAGCAAACATATGCCGCTCTGACTAAGCGAACAGGCATCAGCCATCCGCCATCAGCGGGAAAGGTAAATATTGGGAGGCCCTTTGTTTTTTCATTACTTTCAGATCCATTGGCAATATTGTGGCGATAGGGAGTTGCATGTCAAGTCGAGAGAATATGTTGAAACGACCACAAGTGGTTGATAAAACTCGATGCGTGTCTGGCGGTCCTAGAGTGCGCTAATGGCCGGTCATTCGAGATCCCACAGGCCACCGCAGAGTTTGTGTTTGTGTTTGCGTTTGTGTATGTGTTTGCCCTCTCATTATGACCCCGTGTGGGTGAGTTGTTGTGTGGCCTTTATTGATTGACCCGCACAGCGCTAAACACACACGGACCACGACGAAGCTGGCTTGAGTAATGGCAACATTTGCGGCACAAATTACGCATACGCCTTGCCTGCCGCGGACACATTCAATAAGCACATTAATATTATTAAGTTGCGTGCAATCAATGCAATTTGTCCAGAGTGTGTCAATCGACCTTTCAGCAGACAGATGGGACGGGACACACGTGGAGTCTCCTTATTTGACCTGATTCAGTTTAGCAAGGAGCAATGGCCTATAATTTCAGTTTTTCATCAAGAAAAATATTAAAAATCCTTTGAACCCATTCGAAATCATAAAAGACAGCTTTTTATCATGCTCTTACAAAATTTCTAAATATATTTACCCGATTGCTGGGTACTGTCTTGTTTTTTCCACAAATGTTTAAGACCGAAGTCCTGTCGCCGCAAGAAAAATAAATTACTTTTCAACTTTAATCCGGAGCTCAAATAAAGCGCTGAAATATGATTAAAGTAAGCACACACATAAATGCGGGCGTTAAAAAATATGCATAATAAATAAATGCTGGGCGTAATTAAAAAATGGTCGACAAGAGCCGCACATCCGGCCAGAAAAGCGTTGTCAGCCGCCCTTTTTGCCTTCCGCCCAGCTAGTTTTAACTTGAATGTGGAAAACTTGCGAATGAAAATTAATTTCCATTTTCATTATTCATATTTGTCGTTGTCGTAAGCCCCTCCGTCGCCCTACATCAACCCACGAAAAAAAAACACAGTAACAACTTTTTGTGTCCCAGTGCAAGTTGCGTTTGTAGATTTTGCTTTTAATTGCAGGGGTGACATGCGCCAACACCCCGCTTGTTCTGGCACTCCCTTCGTAATTCTGGCACTGCCATTCCAATAAAAACGTTTTATTATTTACAGTTTACAGTTTAACGCGCTAACAACAACTCAGCGCAACATCATTCAGTTAGTGCAACTTGTTGCCAAGTTAAATTGCTCTGCAGTTGGCAGGGGGAATTGAGGCGTTTTTGGCTGGATTGCGCAATGCACGAAATTGCGCAATACCATTTAAGCCATTTAATAATATTCCGCTACAGCATTAAGTGATCCTGAGGCCAAGGACTGCCTGCCATCGAGGCTGACACATTCAATCAATGTCAGAAACAGCAATCCGTTGAATGAATCGCAATCTGAATTTGATTGGGGGGCCAGGCTATCATGGCTTTCTTTTAATATTGGTAAATGTTCTTTGTTTTGCAGGTGACATGGCTGAAGGTTGACAAGGGCAAGTTCTTTGAGTTCATAAATGGACGGAATCCGCCATTCTGGAACTCTACTATCGAGGGAGCTGAAATCGACGTAAGTAACCCTTTCGGGCCAACTGATGCGAATTCTGGCCACTTATTTACTCAATCATCATTATCGTTGTCAGTCTACGACCCGGTAATCATCCTTGAATTTAGCATGGGCAAATAGTTCAGTAAATTGCAGCTAATTGGTAGACACTTGCCATACATCTTGCATGTCCTCCCGATCAATTGATTTGCTAATGAGCTTTCTGTGTCCGCCGTTACTAATTCCCTGAATTTTTTCTCTACTCCACTTCCCCTGTAATTAACAGTGGGACAATTCCAACGAGCAGCAGGTGACACTGAAGGATGTCCAGTTCGATTTATCCGGCCAGTTCTACTGTGAGGTCTCCACGGATGCCCCCATATTCACCAAGGCTAGTCTCGATGAGCTTATGAGCGTTTTCTGTGCGTAACAACTATCATTATCGGCTAAAATGGGTCTCGTTTTAATTATGGTATCCCATCCCGCCTATGTTTCCAGTGCCCCAGACGGGTCCGCCCACCATTAAGTTTCGCAAAAGGACGCCCTTTGCCGTGGGCGAGAAACTTTTCGCTCTGTGCAACACCACCCGCGGACGCCCAGCTCCGCACATTACGTGGCTAATCAATGGGAAAAAGGTGCGTATGCGTGATATTTGAAGCATCGAGTTCGCAATTCGATTGTTGGCCGTAATCGGAGCCAAATTGCAATGGATTATTTACGGAGTGGAATGTCTATGTGTGAAAACAGCCGCCAGGCAGAAGGTTAATCAGTAGGATAATGCACTTGAAACGACTGCCTAGGGATGTGGATGTGGATGTGGATGCACATACTGCATACTGCAGTGCATTACGATTAACATCAGTTTAAGCCATTTTATAATTATGGCCTATACGGGCGGTCAGAAGAGCTTTCATTTTAATTGCACAAGCCCAACGGCCAGCTGCTGTCGGCGGCGAGGGGAAATGAAATTTAAATAAATTCATTATGGCTGCCTGGGCAACTCTAAAATGAAATTTATTCATAAACGCGCCGGTGGCAATGGCAATGGCAAGAACTGCAACAGCGTGTGGCCAGCAGATGAGCAGATATGGGACTGACCCGTTGGGTCCTGATCCATATTTAATTTAAGCCGGACGCTCGGGTCCAGATGTGTAGCTGGAATGGGATTTGACATTGAAGTGACTTTTGTGCCCAGCTCATTGTAATTGCTGTTATGCTGGCCTCGTCATGTGCTGTCCTGCCATCCAGCTATCCTGCTATTCTGCTTGCCCACCCACCGACCACGACCCTACTGACCCACTGACTCATCGTCCTTTCGGGCTCCTTTGTGTATTGACAGGTGGAGGACAAGTACGTGCGCACCCACCACGTATTCTCGTTCAACGGGAAACACCAGCGCCGCACGCAGCAGCAGCAGCAGACGCAGCTGAGTCAGCAGCAGCTGCAGCAGCAGTACTTCCAGCAGCAGTACTTCAACCAGTACCATCAGCAGTATCACATCCCCGTCGGCCAATTCATGGACCGTTACGACAAAAGCCTACGCTGGCCAGCTGGAGCACGAGCGGGTAAGTACCCATTGTCCACAGACGAGAAGAACCGAAAGAAAATGTTTAGGTCCTTAGGAAAGAAAATTGAAATAAAGATTAAATAAATTAAAGGATATTATTATAAGATGGATATATATTACAAGCGAGCTTCTTGATAATTTTACAAGTTTTTCTAAAACTGCATATTACCATACACAAATATATATTTTTCTCCGTGTATCTGCCATTGACAAGACAACAAGCAGTGAAGCACCAATGGCTAATGCGACATTTCTGTGCTGTTTGAGTTCCAAACGAGGAACCGTCACTGCGGCGTTTACCGTAATTAGTTTGATTGCTGACCTATGCTCCTTGTTCTCTTTTCTGCTTCTCGATTCCCAATCTTAACAACCCGGCATTGCAGATGAGTTCCCGCACTTTTTGTCGCACCACCATGAAGGGCACGGCCACCATGGAAGTCTGTACAACAATCCGTTTGGATCGCTGGCCAACTATCATGACGTGGGTGAGTTCCATGAGGTGCATCAGCGCAACTACGACAGCAACAAGAAGAAGATGGAAATGAAGAAGCAACAGCAGATGGAGATGAAGAAGCACAGGTGAGTGGAAAGCGAAAAGCATGGACATTAATCACGACTAGGTCATCTGACCTGGGTCATTACCTACGTTGCCCCAAAGAACTGTACTTATGGGCTATACAAATTAAAAAGCTGCAACTTTCCGCCACCGGCTTAGATATAAGGTAGCCAAAGGTATACACCTTGGGCATGAAAAGTTTTCCCACCGCCACAAACTTTTCATATTCTTATCAATTTCCCAGGTTGCGTGTGTGGCGTGTTTATTAAAGTTTCCTTATCTATGGTCTAAAAGGATTTTTCCCAGCTAAAGCCAACGGCTGTTGGCACATTGTTAGAGTTTGTTGCCTTGGCCGGCGTTTTTGCCTTTTGTTGTATAACGCATAAATAAATTTTTTTTGGCCCAACTCAGGAACTGGCTCCTTGTGGCTGAGACCCCTCACTTGGCTGGGTTTTCGAAATCTTTACGTAGCGCGATTGGATGTGAAACGTAAATGAATGCAATAAATTATTTACGTTCACCTGTGATATTAAAAATCAAGCAGAGAAACTTTTCCAATATAACAACTTTTGGCCCCTAACTTTGTAAGGAGTGTAAGGACGTGGTAGTGTGTACTGTATATGATCTTGATGGAGGGGTAAAAGGGGGTGTGGCTTGGAATTGGATTGGGGTGGGCGTGGGCGAGGTGTCAGCTTAATGAAAGCCACGAGTCGCTTGGCGCTTCCACGAAGTGCCTGCTCTTTGAAGTTGGCATTGCACATACGCCACGTGGCACGTCTTGGGGGGTCGGTAGAAGAAGGCCGGTAGTTAGGAGTCCATCGTTTGGGGTCGGGGGCAACTTGAAATAGAAATGGTACTGCGAACACGTTGAATGCATAGCACTGGAGTACCATGTTCATGGCCTGACAGCCGGACAGCTATTGTACCAGCAACCCATTGCGCACCTGAGCTCAACCCTTTCAATTCAACTGGCCAGATGGTTGACAGATTACGTAGTAGGGCTAAAAAAGAAAATTTATATACAGGGCCAGCTTAAATGTCACGCCCTCTGGTAATTGGCAAATGAATTTGCCATTTAAAGACGCCGGGCTTTCACATTTGCATAAGCCGAAAAGTTTCGAATTCAGCCTCCGTAGAATCCAGAGTTTATGGCCGTTAAAACTTTGCGGCGCGCATGTGTGTGCGAAATAAACCCACTTGGTTAATTTGCCATAAAGTAAAAACCATAATTTACACTCGTGCCATTTCCTCGCCGGGTAATCAGCGAATGCTAATTGCATTTGCCGCGGGTAAGAAACCAGCGCCGAATGCAAGAGCAGTCCGGAAAACTATTTTATAAATAATTTCCCACAATTCAGAGTGCTTGCTGTAAGTGGAAGTACCAGGTAGTCCTGCTGCTCATAGAGAGTGGGTGTGGATTCTGTGATGAAGGGGCTGCGACGAGGGAACTAATTTCGCTGAGAGCCCAATGGCAATATGAAATAATTTATATTCAAAGCGCACGAGGCGTTAACGCTTAACATAAGCTTCAGTCCTTCTGGCAGGCAAAAAAGAGATTGGAATAGTTCTTAAGCAAAAGGAATATGCTATCCTTTCTTAACCCATTACTTGAAGTCCCGCTGTAAAAGTTAGTGTATAACCATTTGTTTTACTAGGAAATCACCATTTATGGCGTCAAAAAGAAGGCAGTAAAAATTTTCGTTAGAAAATGGGTTAAGAGTAGTTTTGTACCTTTGAGTTAAAGTCAAGCAGCTAAAACTGAAGTTTGAACTATGCAGCGTGTCATAATAAAAAAAAGTAAACTTCTATCTTCTAAGTGAAAAAATAAAATCTGAATGTTATAAAAGTGCTAATCATTCAGATATGTAATATACCTTTTAGAGGTCGATGTTCAAATAACATCCTTGTAGACGCCGCCCACCCTATGATTACCGGATAAAACCATAAATTACATGAAATTGTAAACTTTTTTTCCACCTACAATACTTGGCTTAACCATCCCTAAACTAGCACCTGCAGACACCTGTGGATGGCTTTAGTTATGGGTTTATGTGGGCGTGATTTTAGCCCACGACCATTACTAAAACTGTGAAGCCCTTCTGCCATAAAACCATGTGATAACCGTTGCATATTCATGCACCCGCCTGGCGTAAACTAGTGGAAAGTGGAAGGTAGGAGAAGGGGGGGACTAAAAAGTGCACATGCAACAGCAGCGAAAACAAAGGCAGGACAAGGCCGAACGTTGCAACAATAACCAGTAACTGGCAGCGTTTATGTGCATGCCAATGTGCATAAATTCCTTGGGTTCGGGCTTGGGTTTGGGTTCCCAGCGTTTATGTTTATGTTTGTGTGTGCCTGCTTGGCTGGCCAGGCGTGGAATAAACTGCGCTGTTTATTAAGTTTGTACATCATGTGGCACTCACACACATGCGCGGGGGTGCTGCGAAAATATTCATGTTATTTTATGCAAATGCAATGCTAATGTCACCGCTCTGTGAACTTAGCGACCTTGCAAGATTTATGGGTCGTATAAAATATTGAGTATGGGTCACCAGAATGTATGCTAGTAGGAGTAGTAGTAGTAGTAGTCAGTTGACTGTGACATCAGCTTGGCAAAGTAATTAACCGCTTAACGTGATTAGTGACTAGTCTGCTGACAGATGGACGGACAGATAGACAGCCAGAAAAGCGGCACTCGAAAGCCGGAACATCAGAAAGCTTTCATTTAACAGTAGTCTATCATGTTTTGTTTACCTTTCACGGCTCTGTTCCTTTGTTTTCTCTGGAGCACAGCTTGAAGACTCTTTAAGATTGCAACATGAAAAGAACAAAACCGAATGGCAGCCAACGAGCTACAACGGCAGACGTTGCACGGCTGAAAAGGCCATAACACGTAGCTCTGAATGAACACTTGTCGAGGGAATGGCCAACAAAGCCAAGAATCCTGCTTTTGGAATCCGAAGTGAGCTTACCCTTTTTTGTATTTCCTTACAAAATAAGACATAGGGAAGATATTATATCAAACACTATCTTTGTGCAATAATCTCCCTTAAAATACACAAATTATAATAATTAAATTAAAAATCCGAAAGAGTAATAGTTTTGCTTCGTTATAAGCAGTTGGTTATAGTGATATTACCCTTGTCAAGGATACAAAAGGTTGTAGTGCGGTGTTCATGAGTAAGATGGCTCAGAATGGGCCAGCAAGGACATGGAAACAGGAGAGGGAATGGTGGGTTTTATGCAGTCAAAAAGTAGTTTACACGTTGTTGCACAATTTATGTTTGTGCAACACGTAAGGCCTTTTGTGGCAGGCCCATGCCAGAACAGAACCGAACAGAACTAAATGTTGGGCAGGTCTGAAGGTCCTTGTCTGCGTCTAGCTTCAACCTGGCTTTTATTCCGGCAGGTTTACTTGCCCTTTGCACACTTCCTTTGTGCCGAAATCCCCCAGAATACATAGCACACACGATATATCCGAAAAGCAATCCAAAACGCCAACGAGCGGCAACTTAAAGCGGCCACGGGATACACCTCTTTAATAGGAGCTTCTGTTTTGGGGTTCTCACCGGAATCTTGCCACTTGGCTGCAAATGGAATTGCTATTAAAACTAAATTTTTGAATTATTTGAAATAAAAAAAACTCTTTGCTTACCGCAAAGGACTTGTGTAAAACACAAAACGAAGCACTTTCTGGTTTTCTAGTTCTCTGGTTTTGCTTGGTTGCTGGAATTTCATGACGGTCAACAAAGGAGCGCGCCCCTCTAAATGCAGCTAGTAATTTTCATTTAATTCTCAGTGTGGGTTTCTTGTGCAGAAGCAGAAGCAGGACCAGGACCCAAATTGCCACCGACTTGACCCTCAAAAGAGCGGCCATTAAATGTCGCGACTGGCGGACTTGAAGCGCCAGAAATTGGCTCTGTGTGTCGGTAATTAGCTCTGCCCCGTTGGCCCAGATCGCGTGTATGGCGGTAATCCTTTAGGGCGGGTCAACGGTGGTCGTTGCTGACGTGCCATAAACCGCGGTCCTTCTGATGGCAGACGAACGAATCCAGGGTCAGAGGGCATGGGCATGGACATGGACACAGGCACGGGCAACCGATCACTTAAATTTACGGCTACTTTTAAGCCCGTCCAATGCCAATGCGCTTTTAGTTTTAATTGCAAGCCAGGTTCTGGCTAAGTGCTGACCGATAGTGGCTACAAGCCGCTGAAATGACGTCCTCCATTAATCTCGGCAGCAACAACAGTATAGAGTATACATTAAGTTAAGTTTTTATTTTATAACGTAGCACTTAAAGGTGAATGTGTGAGGCTAATTTGTAAATAAGTGAGTGGTATTGCAGGCATCCTACTTGACCTTGTTCACTGGTAGGTAGGTGGAACTGGGAGATGCGGCTGGTGGTGGGATATATCCGGCAGAAGGAGCCTCCAATTCGGCGGTTACACTTCCGGTGGATGGCCGACGCTCATCAATCAGTTGCACTTGCTGGTGTTGCTGCACTTTAGTGGCAAAGTCCAGGACGGGAGCAACGCCTCCATTGTGGGAGGTGGAGGAACCACCCAGACGCTCGTACTCCTGCTGAATGGTCCTCTGTGCATTGAGGGCATCCTCCTGAGTGCGGTACTTGACGAAGTGCACCTCTGGTTTGCTGGCGCTTACATGGTTCAGATTCTGGAGCTGGTTGGCCAGGCTGGACAGGTCTCCCTGCTTGGTCAGGACATAGATAGCAGTCTGCTGTTCGGCCGCTTGTTTGGCCAAAGCCAAAGCAGCGTTCTCCAGACCCTTGTTCTCGGGCGCCCTGATGAACACTACACGCAGGTTCTTTTTCAAAGTAGCAGCCAAATCACTGACACTCTTGTTATCCTCGAAATCAGCCTCTGGTGCGGAGTAGGTGAAGAACTCCTTGTTGAACTCGGTGTGCACAGGGGCATAGTTGCTGGAGTAAGTCTGAGAGGAGCCAAAAGATCCTCCAGAAAGAGAGCCACTAGCAATTGAGCCACCAGAGATTGAGCCACCAGAAATGGAGCCACCGGAGATTGAACCCCCGGAGATAGAGCTCCCAGAAATGGAACCACCAGAGATGGAGCCTCCTGCTCCAATGCCTGCTCCATAATTGTAACCACCCACATCGGCACGAGCCACAGCCAAAACAGCCAAAATCTGACAAATATAATCCAGCTTAATGAAAATATTTCAAATATATAATTCCAATTTAACTTACGATAAATCCACGCATATTGATTGCTCTACTCCAAGCCAATTTTCGATGAAATCTGTTAACGTGTTGGGCACGCTGGGAGGTGTAAACTGTTAATGATGCAGCCCATCTGGCAGAGGGGCGTTTTATAGCCAAGCCCCAAAAGCCAACTTTAATATAAGATGCAGATTTCCAAGATGAGACAGCGGGTGTAGCCTATGCCATTGATTCAAAAACAATAACAAAATCAATACCAATACCCGTTGCAGGTGACGCAAAAGCCTGGAACTGTATCCGCCAGCATTAGTTTGCATAAATTCGAAACGGTTTGCCAATTTTGTTGCCAACGAAATGCAAAAACAAACCACTACGGAACTGGACGTTGGTAGGCCAGACCAAAAATGATGGCCACTTAAGTGGAGCAATGCCAAGCGATTTGCATAGCTGGTTGGATTTAATTAATTGCAATAAAGCCAAAGAAAAAAGGAGCAGGCAAAACCAATCAATTACGATATCCACAGAATTCTGGAAATGATTGGCATAAATTCAAAATTAATTAATACTGTCAATATATCATACCAACAATTGCCAGCCCCGGGGCAGTGAAGTCTGGCTATGAAAGATCACAAATTAAGCGCTAATCGAACGGCTTCTCCGCCGACTGTCCACAGTATCTGGTTTATGGTCATAATTATGATTTCGTAAATACGCTGGCCAACAAAAACAGTGAACAAAAAACCTATTTATGCAAATTAACCCCATGTCGCTTGTGGCATTTTTGTGGTTTAGGGTTCCATTTTATTGTTTTTTTCTGTGTTTCCATTTGCATATTATTAGGCATTTATGATAGCATTCATTGTGGAAATTTGATATGCTTGATTCATTCATTCATTGATTGCCCAATTGAACTTCAATCTCGAGTCAATCGTTGCATACTTTTCGGCGCATTGGCAATGGCTGTCAAACTGTGTTGGCCGGTAATGAACTTAGCCCCGATACCTGATGGCCCTGTGGCGCTTTCCATCGAAATGCAATCAAGTTAATTACGGAAATATGCATTTTTCAAGCCAAACATGAACATGCAATTCCGTGATTGACGATAAATGCCCAATTAAGCCAATTACGAGCGGTTGGCCCATGGCAACTTCTACCGCCAGTCGCGTGCAACATGTGTGGCAGAGCCACCGACTACCAACTACTTTTGTAATAATTTGATTTAAACTAAATTTATCAAATTGTTTTTCCTAATTGAGTGGGTTAAATGATGAACGATGGACTCTTTTGCTCCCATAATGAACAATTTTCCGTTTGATTTGACCTCTAATTAGATGGCCAACCCAGGTGGAAATGTTTATTTGGCAGGAGAGCACGCATGCAATTAATACAAATAGTTCCAGGGGCACTTAATGAAGTTTTCCCATTTGCATAGCAATGCCAAACTTGTTCGCTGTCTATCTGTACCTCTGTGTCTCTGGCATTTTGGCCCTGTTTTTGCTGCCATGCAAGGAAACAAGGATCCCGTAGAATGGGCAGGGGTGGTGTCACTTTATAGTGCATAAATTATTCAATGAACCGCATGCCAGGACGAGTCAGCGACGACAAAAGAAGCTCTGCTGTCAGTTATAATTTCACACGCGTAACAGTTGCCGTTGTCAGTTGTGTTGGTGTTGCTTCAAAGGTTTCTAACGGTGCCAGTGGAGTTTCCTGTCTGCCTACACTGAGATATTGTAACTATACTATTTATTTTTTAAGTTCTCTATTATTAACTCAATTTATTCAAAAATCATACAATCATTAATATTTTAATTTATTAGAACTGTTTTCATTTGACTAAAGTTCTAACCGTATTATTTTCTTTATTGTGGCTGTTATGAAAGGAGCTTACCGTTCTCTCAGTGTTACGTTGTTGGCTAACCCAGTTTTAAACTTTTTTTCCTAACGCTCTTTTGTGCGCGCGCGCATTTGAGCCGTAAGTTAGACACTTGTTAGGTCGACATCGACTTGGCATCGCTACCGATGACGAAACACTTTACACCCCTGAATAGTTAATACAAATTAGCTGGCCCTGAGCAATTACGTGGCAACAAAATTTGCATGCGTTGCGCCATGTAATTTTCGGGGAACAAGCGGGAGGAGTTTCGGTCTTCGGCTGGCCGGGTTTTTTGCCTCCCGGGCCCAGGATTTGATTTCGGCCAAGAGCTCCGGCATTGCAAAGTTAACCTAGCCAAAAGTTTTGCTGGTAATCTGTATGGTTTCTTTGCCATTGCCTTTGTAGTTGTTGTTGTTTGGCTGTTGTTGCCAAGTTGCGGTTCACCCAAGTTCCGGTTTCCGATCTCAAGACCTCTTTTTGTGCATGGCGGCATAAGAAATTCATGGTTTTGCACGTAGCCCTGGCGCCCACTTAAGTTACTTTGCTTGTTCCAGCTAAGTGGGTAGATGGTGAGCCGAATGCTCTCGCTTGGATTGGAAATCTAGATGCTTTGGCCCCTTCAGTGTTGCCAGCTCAGTCGATGGGATGAATTTGAGTATAAGCTAGCCGAAAATGTTAAGTAGTTTAATCTTGTTAGTTAAATTTGTTGTAAATCCTTCTTAAGATCTTTACCACATCAAAATTCGGCTGCATCATGGAATCATAAGAGTTAAAGCTAATCTCTTTTATTATAAACTTTTCATTAAATATACAAATTTAAAATGTGATACTCCGCAACATTTTCTATACACTTTCCTTAAGTTCCCATATTTAAGTTCGGAACTTTATTTGTCGGGAACTTAGTAACTTGGCAGCACTATTATCGACACTTTTCTGGACTGTTCTATCTATCATAAATTGCTAATAGATTTTGTTGCGTTGGCGTCGACGCCTTTAGATAGTTTGCCTGCGTTGGTAAACGAAATTAAGCTGCGGTTTTTGTGGCCCAGAGACACATAAATATTCGAGAGCCAAAGAACAGAACGAAACTACATGACTTATCAATTAATTAGGCGCATTTCTCAAATTATCGCCTTGGGCCGGGCCAAAAGAAAAGCGAAGGCTGTTTAGCATGTCAGCTGCGAGTCAAGATATTTCGAATCCTTGGTTCCTTTCAAGGGTAAAGCGGAATTTAAAGTGTCATGCCAGACAGCAGTTTCATAACGTGCTCACACTATTTCAGAGTAGGATGAGAACGAAGCCAAGGAACACCGGGGTCCGCATTTCCGTCTGATTTGAATTGCTCGGCAAGTTTGTTATGTTTTGAACTTGAGCTTCCTGCCACGGGTGCTGATGCTGTTGTCCTGGCTGTTTTCCCCTGCAATTCCTTGCTCCTCGCCTTGTTTTCACTACCGGTGGCAGCGTTTCCTGCGAAAAGTGCGCTGCATAAGGAATTTTATTAAGACAACTGCAACAGCAGCAGGAGCAGCACTAGAAGTACATAGTAGTAGCTTCGCAGTAACAACAGCTTCGTTGATGATGCCCTGGCTTCAGCTACCAGCTGTCATCAGCCCGTTGGGCCAGGGCAGAAGATCTGGAGCTGTCGAAGGCTTATACGGATGTTGTGCATTTGCTCAGAGTTTTGCCCCGCATTTGTTTGTTCTGCTAGCTTAACTGGCTTACTACGAATGCTCTTGGCTGTCTGTTGCTGCCTTACTGCCACTCGATATTGGTTAAGTTCTCTATGAGCGTTTCTCTTGGCCAATTGTTTGTCCTTTCTGTGCGTGCCTAGGTTTGAAAAACATACCCTAAACATGGGTAAATTCGTATATATAGTACCAATACTCAGTATTCAAGGGTGGACAATTTTGACCTTTTCAATGGTTTCCAAGACTTTACATATTTAACCCAGATGCAAATGAAATCAGTTTTCATTCTAAAGAAGTAATGAAAATGACTTTTCAGATTTTTGTTCCCATTATGATGAGTTCCTAGCGTATTTAGATGTCGTCTTCTGTCCTTACAATTTGCATGACACTTGCCCATTTTCCCCACAGTTGCCAAGTGCTCTAGTTGCACAGAGGAAGTCTGGGTTTTCTGAAACATATATACTCGTACATATACATAAAGTCGTACACATCGGAGAAGATTGAAAGAGATGCAAACACTCCCATAGAAAATCAACTTTTTGCTGACACCTTGCTTTATCTATATACGAGTGCCTGTGGCATCCGTATCCTTAGTCCCCGACTGGGAAGACTTCTGCAGCCAGTGCACTTTAAGCAAAATAATATTTAAATAAAATTCTGCTAAAATTCTATGGCATTTACTTTCCAATTTGCATAATCAGGCATTTTGACATCAAGGACGAGAGCTATGCAAATGGAATAATTGCTTAAATGAGACGGAAGTGAGCGCTTTCAACTCGAATTTGAAGACGATGTTGCCATTCTGATTTCAATATAACATATATAATCGTATACCTATATGAGGGCCATAAACTAACACAGCTGACAATTGGTTTGCCAGCATTAAACTTTATGGCCTCGACATTATTTGCTCAAGAGTCTGCGGGATGTGTCTGTATGTGTGTGTACATGTGTTGGTATGGTAGGTAATACCAAAGGTAATTTCACTGTCATTTTGAATTTGTAATAAAGCAACATGTCGCCGTACACGAACAGAGGGAACGAACCCAGAGTAATTACAGGGGACGGGATCTGGAAGCCCCAAAAGCCACACAACCGCTTATCCGCAGAGCCGGGTTCATTTGTATGCCGTTCAGGCTTCTTATCAAATATGAAGCAAAGTCGTAAAAGCTAATTAGACTCACAATGTGCGATACGACTGAATAATGCAAACTAATCAGGCCATAATGCAGGCGAACCATTAGAAAGCCTTGCCAATCAGCAGAAAGGCAAGAAAAGTCTTGCTGAGATGCTCAATAATCTTTAGATTTTTGTTTCGAATGAGCTCTTTTCCAATCCTGAGACCTTTCAGACTTGTGAAGTTTGTTGGTCGGTTATCAATTACTCAGGGGTTTTGGTGCAAATGAAGACATTTTCCCATCGATGTATCCAGGCGGCATTGTATGGGAATCAGATGTGCGTGCCCGGCATGTTGAAGGCCCTGCTTCTCGTCCACGACACTCTCACTTTCCAGGGCTTTTATTTTGCTTTTCACGTTTACACACATCAATCATAAAATGCAAATATTTACGATTTTATTTGTGTGCAAATTGCCAGGCGCAGGCACATTAAACCCAGACTCCCCATTTTATATTGCAGGAACAGCAACCGCAAGTACCGACGCCACATAAACGAGAACGCCCTGGGCATCATCCGTAGCACCCTTAATAGCGGTGGCTTCGGTCCGCAGGCCCCCAATATGAACAAGGAGCTGGGCATTCCGTCAAACGCAGGACCCATGAATCAACTGGCAGCAGGCTACCAGCGACCACTCTCGCATCCTGGCGGAGGAAGTGGAGTGGCTGCAGCGGCGGCAGCCGTAACTGCTGCTCAGCAGGAGAAGGGCATGTTCAGCATTAGCCAGCTGAACATCGAGCTCACCGAGGAGCACGTGGGCAGCAACAGTCGCATGGAGATCACCTGCCTGTCCACGATCCCGGCGACTGTGGGTCAGGGAGAGCAGTATGCCGACTACAAGACTTACTCCGTGAAAGGTGAGTTAAATATGGGTTTTGAAGTAACCTGAGGAAAGTAGAATTATAAAACTAATATTAAAAATCATGAAATAGTTCTTTGCTTATATATTTTACTTTATTGTTTCTATAATTTTTGAAATGTATTTTTTGATCCCCTGAACACGTTTTGATTTCGTGATTTGCATATTTGTGTGGATTTTATACGTTATATGTTTTATATCGTGTAATGCTATGCAAGGCAAATATGTGTACACACACCCGCCTGAAATTACAACCAGTGAACACATCGAAAGTGTCCTTCGCGCCACGAAATTATGAAATGGAAGATGGAATCACGGATGAGTTTTCACAAAATAAATTAGTATGATAATGTGCGCATGCATTGTTACTTGCCCGACTGTCGGAAAGCGAAAACCGACGAGGAATTTTAAACAAAAGCCTTTGTCTCAACTGGCAGATTAGGTATTTCGTCCTTGGATTTGTTTGCCTAACTGGTGTTGGTACATGGGTGTGGGTACGTCATATGTTTGCCGTTTTGTCTACGTTTAATTTTCATTTACTCCACCTCTTGGCAACTGAAGAGCAGGCCAAACAAAGGTTAATTTATATATTTGTCGGCTTTGTTTGCCTACGAGCCGGCTGTTAACACTAACGTCCCAGCCAAGTCTTTGAGCCCCTGTTGTAAATTGTCCTGAATTGTACGAAATAATTTACACATTACCAGGCCCATGACTCACGATGGTCGTTGGTTGTTCGTTGTCCTCTTCACTGCTTACCACCTCCAAATCCCCTGAACCATCGCCCATGGCCGGCGGCAGCTCCGTTGTCTTTCGACCTCTTTGCTGGCCGAGTGGCTGCCAACTGTCACTTGAACCAAGGGGCGTATGCGTGTTATTTATGTTGCGTGAAGTGCGTCATTTGTTTGGGCCAATGCCACTTCGCCGGCGAGAATGCTCCACTCTGTAATTGTTTCTTATGCCGCCCTAAGGGGCTGCCATCAGTTTGCTTATGCGAAAACTTTTTAGCACTGAGGACTTCTTCCACTTTTGGCCCGATCATCGTGGCGACCATTTTTGCGGTTTCGTACCACATTCTCGGCGGTAAACCATTTTGCCTAGACAACTTGCGCGACTTATCACTGCTTTGAATTATTCATTTTATGAGCCGAACTTTGTTTTGGAAATTGATTGTTTGGCCTTGGCCTTGACCTCTCATATTTAGTTTGTATTTTAATGGCAGGCTCTCACAAGACCTGTAATTAGCTATTAAATATATATCTTATTGAATTACTTTTTAATTAAGAAGGACTTTAAATACATTTCCAATTAGCAATATTTATTTTATTAAGTCCCGGGTAATGGAAATTCCATGCTTTTGTAAAATTCCTTTGTTTCTGCTTTCCAAAATGGGCATGATTTTAACTTTTCAATGAATCTCAGCGTAGTTAATCAGTGTTTTTGTACATTTTCGTCTACTTTCAGTTGAGGTTGAGCGACAATTGGCCTCCTCCACGTCGACAGCTCCGCCGAGCATTGGAATGGCGGCACTGGGCAATGGAAATGGACATGGCAACGAGACCTCCGCTGGCCGGAGGGCACATGGCACAATGGTGACACATTTGTGGTCGCTGGCGCAGCTCCTGCTGCTTGTCCTGCTGCCCCTCAGCTACTAGATGATGTAGGAGGCTGAAAAACGGGACACGCTGGAGAGGAGAAGACCACCGACATACTCGCACAGAAGGTATAGTTAAAGCAAAACCAAGGGCAACCATATCATCACCATCCCATCAAGGACAAAAGCAGCAGAAGCAGCTGCAACATCGGAAAACACAAGTTGGAATTTTTGTATAAATTGTACACCGCATTTTTAATCTGTTTCCCAAGCCAGAGCTCGATCGAGCAGCTAAATTAGTGCGGCTCAAAGACAGCAAAATCGAGAAAAAATAACAATGGACTAAGAGAACATTTTTAGCATTTGTGCTCGCCTTGGTCGGCCAATTTAAATAGTTTACTTGTAAATAACTGCAGATGACCGAGGGAATCGGGCGTGGATTTTTCCCTTTTTATTTTTTGTGTGGCCGCAAAGCCAAAGAGAAATGTTTGTAATTAAGTTGCAGTCGGACGGGAAATTGGGAGAATGCTTTCAGTCCGGCCAGCGGCCATTTTTTGTAGTGCAAGGAGAATTTTGTATAGCTAATTGAACATAAGTTTCGGGACAGGCGACTGCAACTCAGAACAAAGAAAAACCAAAACCAAAACCAAAGTTTTTGCGCTCTGTCAAGGTCAGTGCGCCAAGGGCGTGGTGGTGGTCCGCCCACTGATTGCCTTTCGTTTCTGGCCTTGTCAGAAGTTTGGGATAAGGATATTACCCTGCCCCACCCACAAAAAAACCAGCACTCACACAGAAATTCAAATCCCAAGAAGCCAGAATTGATTGGGGCTAACGTTTTTTTAGGCGTTTCAAAGCAGTCGCTACGAAGCTTGTACCTAAAATGCATGAACTTAGTGCAGTAGCAAAACAAGAAACAAACAAAAATACGAATAACAAACACTCAAAGGAAACATATTTTTTACGGTATTGTAGCGCTTGGGCTAGTCAAGGATAGGGATAGGGATATTTGGATGTGGCTAACTGAGGGTAGGCTAAGATTAGGGCAATTGAATTTAAGAGCCAGCAGCAGCAGCAAGCTAAAAACGAGTACCGTACCCCCAAGAACCCGTACCAACGTACCCCCGGAAATAAAACGTTTAAATGTAAAATAATTAGACAGTTAAAACCAAGAAGCTTACAGAAACAATCAGTGTTGAAAACATTTTGAGAAGACAACCAAACAAAACAAAAACAAAAAGAAGGCGGAGCGAAAAATAGCACGGAGAACCCCAAAAAGAAAAGGCGCCGAAAAGGGCGCAATCTGCGGCGCGTGGTGACCCCGAAATTAGGGGTAAGGGTCATCCCCAGAGGGTTGGGCTCCTCTCCTCATGGGTCACCCCGAAACTCACTCCGCTCTACATTACGACGCTTATTTATTTATTTTCATTTTGGAACCTTAATTTTCGGTTCGTTGTGTGTAAATGGTTATCGTTGCAATGGTTCGTTTAGTGTGTAGTTAGGAAAATATTTGCCGTTGCGATTAATTGTTTTCATTACCAGTTTTTGTGTTTTTTTAGCGGCCGTTTAAGGAGCGGCCTAGTCGCAGTGCTTAACACTAAGTACGGATGCATTTCGTGTGTATTTAGGAGGATTATTTTCAAGCGCGCTTTAAGTGTCTATGGCTAAAGAACCATTTTAAACACGTAGCATAACAATGTAACTATGTAAAGCAAAATGATAGCAACCACGGACAACCCGGCAAAGTAAATATATGTAAAGCAATTAGTGGACTAGTCTATACTCTCTAAAAAATTAAAAAAAAAAAATAAATAAATATATTTAAAAATGAGCGTCTGTATTGTGTGTGTAATTAGGCTTCTATTTTTGACTTCTACTCGACGGCGAAATGCAAAACCAAACATAAATTTAGTAATAAAACTAAGCCTGCTATGTTCTCAAAAGAGTTTAAACAAGCGTTATCAGTAAAAGCAAAGAATTAACATATTACAAATAACAAAATATCATTTACAACTGCAAATTGAAAAATCTTGCCACAGTTGAAACATTTTCCAAGGGTTGTCCTCATTGTGAGTACATGTAGTTTCTTGGCCAGTGAAAGCTAATGAGTACACCAACCGGATAATGCTTGAACGAACTACGACAATTTTTTATAAAAGAAATATACTTAATTACGATAACGGTGACATCACGTATAAATAATTGAAAACAAAGTTCATATTATGTATGAAAAATATGGCTAAAATGTCTTATGCAGGTATTGACGTCTTCCTATGCTACGCTGTCTATTATTAACAGAAAAAACAAATTGATTACATTTATAAATTATACATTACGAATAGGTGTGCATGCAAATTTACTGATTGCATACACTAAGAACTAAATAAATATGAAATGAAAAACAAAAATGAACAAAATATTAACACTTATACACAAACAAATGAGGATGCTTTAAACTTAATCCATAATTTATACCAGTTTTAATTCAAATATATAGACTATCTATTTTTAGTACTGATTATGGTATGCTAATTTCAGCCATTATTCAATTTCAGATAATTTGATTTATGTGAACTTTTTTGGGAGCTATTTCCCACTTAGTTATGGGTTTGTAAATCACTCGTACTAGTAAATGTTTCCCACCAATCTATGAACAAGTGCAAACACAAACTTTTCAACACATCACACTCGCCTACATATCCGCAGCTTAGTCCCCCCGTGAATGTCATACACCCTCTCAACTTCTCTATTTGTCTGTATAAATATGCAAACTGCGTGTTGTCTACAACTCAGTCGTCTGTTGTCTCAGCATATATCAGCATGAATATGCATAATTGGCCAAAGATTTGGAGGTACTTTATCCCAGTCGTATAGCTAATTATGTGACATGCACCATGCACCCCTCTATCGAGCATATTTATGTGTATCTATGTAAAAACTCTATATAGGTGTCCAGTGCAAAAGTGAAACGCAAGAGGATGATATTTATATAGATCAAATAAGAGTACATTAAGTGTCGCAGCAATTCGCAAAACATATCATAAATGTTGTAACATTTTCGGATTCCAAAACAATGGGAGCTTCAGCCTCTCAAGTCGGAAGCCAATTAACATTTTTCATGCCTACCATATGATGGTATTTATGGGGTTTAATTATGATTGTTTGTTGAGGCCTCTCCAAAACCAACATAAATGGATATTGACTCGAATGTTTGACAATCAGGCATTCATATTCATGTTGGAGGAAAAATCACATCATAATGACAGCATAAATGAGAGCGCATGATATACAAATATGCACACAAAACACGAACATTATATTTAAATGTTGTATTTTGATAAGTCGAAAGTATTACGACAATGTCAGATTGCCAGACAAAGATATTTTGTCCGGGAATCTGCTGCGCGGCTACCTTTATCATTTCTATCACATCAAAATCTTCCAGTCACACATATCATTGCGTATTGAACAAAAAACATAAAATTATACAAAATATATATTAAAATTATGTATACAAAAAAAAAAAAAAAAAAAAATAAGAAAAACCCCGTAAAGGTGTATAAAAGATATATTTATAGAGAAAAGGCATGTTTATTAATTTTAAACACTTACACCACAAAAAGCTTTAACTTTTTGTTCCCATTGTTTGTCGAACATTATTATAATCGCATGCACATACACATGGATTTGTGTGTACAAATATTTGATATTGAATTCAACCTAATTTGAATTTCCCTGATTTGTATTGTATAAAATGTTTTAAGGTCTAAGAAAATGTCTAGATTATTAGCATTATTGAGGCTACTATTGATAACTGAATATATTGAAGAAACCCAGACAAATTGAACTCGAAAAACGTAAAATAAACATTTATTTATAGATACAGACATACCAAGAGCGAGCGATACAATTGTAAAAATTGCAACCTATGCAAATTAAATGCAAAAAAATAAGAAAATGAATGTGTGGAATATGTGTATTATTATTATATACTAAGCCACGAATATTTATATGTACACTGAGCAGAAGCAGAGAGAATTAAGTGTAAAATTTAAAGTGTAAATTACCAAACGAAGAACAACAATTACGATTACAACTCAACCCAAATTATGGCGCCTAATGCTTGGCCAATCTACTACACGGAAAGGGATATACAGCATATTAAATATACATACAGAAATACGAATATTTGTGGTAAAAAGAGAACGAACTAAAAAATAAATGTTGAAAACAAAAGGCCAAAAGCGTTTCATTCAAGGACCAGTTAAGGAGCACACGCCCCTCAAAACAGGCCGAGCAAACAAGGGACCCAAAACCGAAACAAAAAAAAGGCAAATGTAGAAAAACATAACAAAAGTGGGAGCCACATAAAAGGGGCGGAAACTGGGACAAAGATGGGGTTTTTTTGGGAAGGCGGATGAGGGACAGAGACAGGATTTTGCGGCGCCCACAAGTGCGTTAAACAAACTTGCGAAACTTTTCGTTTGACGAATATCCTTTTAATCCTTTTAAATGTGCAGGGAAATTGAAGGGGCACAAGCAAAGGACACATAAGGTCAGAAGTCTCAACCAAATTACAGAGGGGACGGGCACAAATGGCCTGCAATAATCAACGAAAGGATAAACTCCGGAGTAAATGGCGAGTCAAGGGTATCAAGGCCATAAAACTCATCCCACGAACAAAGCCCAAGACACAATGGCTGACTATTTTCTTTTTCCAGCCTGTCTTTCAACGTCCCAGGACACCATCCACCACAAAGGTGCAACGAGCCAGGTTGCCTCATTACGAAATCAAAGCCCTGTTGTACACATCACAATGGTGATAGAGGGGGGTTTACGTGGGTGTGTGTCTGGTGACAGATGCGAGCTATCGATTCCGAATTTGTGTGACAGACAGGACATCGAGATATGGAATGGCCTCGGGGCTTTTAGGGGGGAAACGACAACATTGCATGGAAATGAGCAATTAACGCCTGGGCCATCGTTAGGCCGGACCAATCTGGCTATCGACGAATCAACAGATTTTCTCCGTAACCATCAAAAGGGTTTTCCGACTCTGTCTTGATTAAGGTATAAATATTAAATTAGCAAGAGGGGGCTGTCTCCTACTCCAGCTCTACCAACTGCTCCTCCATCTGCTCCATGTCCTGTCTTTACTTTTGGCTTTGGCTGGTGTTGCCTGCCTTTGCCGTTAATGAGGCATGGCCATGGCAAGTGAAGGAGTCAGACAGGATGTGGTTTGTTAAGAGGCTGGTTCGCTGCTTAATTATACATGGCAGCGCCCAAAAGTCGACTAATTAATGTGCAGCAGTCGAGCAGCGGAGAGTGGCCCGGTTAATGAGCCAAAACTCGCAGCATGTGTGCCAAGTTTCGACAGCCAGTGAAGCGTTCCTTCGGTGTGTTTGTGTATAAACAGTCAAGGGAACTGACGCCGATGCCGCTGCCGATGTCGATGCCCACCAAATAACTCAATTTTCATAGAGTGGCCTGGCTCCAGAGCTCGCGGGAAACACCAATAAACACTTTTTGCAAACAAATCCCGAACTATTTCGCAGCAAACCACAGTAGCAGCAACTGCAACAGCAACTGCAGCAGTAACAGCAGCAGCGACAGGCGCAGTAAAAGTTTCTGACAGCGACAACATGGCGTACAACTGCCAACTGCAAGTGCACTTGGGTGTGGACCCTCCTCCCAATTTTCAGCTGGCTTTTAGTTCCGCTTCTGGCTCCCTGGCTCATTGCCACCTGCATGGACGAGTGGTGGCGGTTGCCAAATTAACAAAAGCAAACAACTTTGTTGCTCTCGCTTTGGGCCAAAAAACAATGGAGTCGGCTGAACTGTCTCAAGCACATTTCAATTTGCGCTTACCGAACAAAGTTGCTGCCTTTGCCTGCATGCGGACAAATGTCAAAATATTTAGTTGTACAACGAAACTTTCCCTCCAGAAATTGAAAAGAAATATTGGTTAACCCGTGGGACCGAAAGCAAATGCCCCGATTCTGCCAGCATTGCCAAAACTTTTCGCGCTGCGAATTATATCGGTATAAAAGTGTGTGTGTGAGTCTGTGGGTAGCTGTTGCATTGTTTGCCAGCGAATTTTCCGAGTGTTTGATGTGTTGCTGGGCCACCGCAGCTGTCAGCTGGTGAGATTGAAAGCGGACGAGGTATTTGCAAATGTTACCATAAAAACAGTGATTTATATTTTCCACTCCCAGCCCTTACTACAAATGGTTTCCCAATGTAATAGCCCTTTGAAATACTTGAATAAATACCGCCAAGCCTAAAAGCACGCTACACGTTTTCGTAACCTCGCTGATTAAAAGTCAACGGAGCGTATGAGTAAAATACAATTTGCTTTTTAAGTAGAAATAATAAGTGAATTTAATAATTATTTATTTTCATAAAACCGATATTTATTATAAAATGTTGCTACCCTCTTATAAAAACTCCATCCTGGAAGTGTGCTCCGTTTTTTCTCACAGCTCAACAAGCTAACAACGGGGTGTATTCGAAAGTTGCTAACTACTTTCGAAGCCTTGAACTTGTGACATGGAACTGCCATTAATGAATTAATATACTCTATGCAAACATTACAACTATTTTTGTCAGTTATTTAGGAGACTCGAAAGTAAAAGTGAAAAACATAAAGAGTGGTAGGGATAAATGTCCCACCTTAAGCCAACACAAATGTAATAAATATGCTTGCATTTTATAATTCCTCCTTTGTGGATCTTTTGAAGGGTGTCTTTCCTTCGTCCTGCTAAAGCCTTTTAGCTTGTGGAAAAAAATGCTGATATCTCTGGGCGTCAAAAAGGAGCTTTGCACGGGCGACACTTGAGAGTGCCGTGAATGTCGTTTTAATAATTTATTTTGTGCGCACAGCGGGCCGCTCATTAACACAGAAACACCAACACGCATACACACTAGCAAATATGTTGGCTCACACGCACAGGACACGCACTTGGCATCCTCGTCGTCGATTCGGTCGGCTGACTGCTGCATATCACCTTAATTACAGGCAGCAGTCTGGGCGCAGTCAGACGGCAAATGGCAGACAAGCTAACAGCGTTTATGGTGGCCCAAATTGCCAGGACCCCGGATCCTTGCTCCCTTCTACCCCAACACCGATTCACTGGCATATTGTCGCTGTCGTTACGCTTTAGCGATTTGCCACTGTACCACACAAGCACTCGCACACAGACGCAGAAAAGAAAAAGAGCAACGGATTCAGTTTGCACTCGACTGCTGATAAGCGTGCAATTCCTGCAGGGGCAAAGGACAGACACAGACACACATACACATCCTGATGGCCATGAATACATGCACCGTTGGTTTGCGTTTATATCGGGCTTATGTTACGTCTAAGTGAAATTTAAGGACTCCACTCAACAGCGTACCAAATCCTCAGCATAGTTCAGTTTCGGGCCATGTGTGCTTTCATTTCGCATGATGAGTTTGCCTTCCACGGAAGCAGGAAGCCATCATGACATACAGACACCCATCTGCTCACACCCCGCAACAAGGTTACACAATCATACTCAATGAGTGTCGTCAGCTGGCAGGACACAGATCAGGAATAAAGGCAGCTTCCACCTGCAAAAGGACGTTGCCACTTATACAAACCACAACTGGCAAAAGGGCCCGCAACAATAACCACCAGTGACGGGAAGTGTTAGGGACGCTGTACCTTGATATTGACTTCGACGAACCAAACTATATTTTGGTACCTTAAAGCATTTTATTGGTTTTTGTACCATTTTTTAGATCACTGGAAAAAACTAAAAACTGGAAATTTCCTTCGATTTTTTTTTTTTGTAAATGTAATGGTAATATTACCAAAAATATTTTGGGAAGTACCTCTTCTACATTTTCCATCACTGAGAAAACCCATTCTAGCATGGTCTGCAAAGAGTGGCCGGAAACTGGAGCCGGGCCCAGACCGGGCCATTGTCCAACCACTTCATTTCGATTCTAATAACTCCAATTACAAATGGCGGATGGGATAAAACCATTGTGCATATGCTGGGGATTCTATGAGTGTGCGGGTGTGGTTTCGTTTCACTTCCCATGCGGCAATGTGAGTGGGCGGCATATGTGGGTGGCTCAACTTGTTGCTGGACTTTATGACATGCCAGCCGCTTTATCCAGGCTATTATTTCAGGGATTTTATGTGAAAGGACAACGCACGAATGCGCAGGCAGACGCAGGCAAAGCCAATGCCGGGATTTGAATGGCAAAAACGAGAAACTCGCACAACGGAAAGGTTCCGTTCCGCAGTGTGCAAATGGCCGAATCCTGCAATTAGGCTGCAAATGAGTTTTCCAGTTCACATCGGGAATTTGTCAGCAAAACAAATTTTATTCCTCTACATGGATACTTAAGAGCTAGTTAACTTGGACGTGATGGGAGTGGGCAGGTGATTGTTTAGGAAACGTTACCGTTGGACTTTCACTTGAGTACACATTTACTTGACGCGGAAGCGACGCAGAGTGGGAGGCAGGTAATCCTGGCCAGCGATCACATTGGCGGGCAGATACTCCGAGCTGGGAGCAGGTGCAGCAACTGGAGCAGCACTGGCGGGGGCTGCAACGGGCTGAGCTGGGGCCGAGGAAAAGTTAAGGACAGGAGCACTACCCTCGTTGGAAATGCGGGACACTCCGGGCAACTGGTTGTACTGGTTTTGGATGGCCAACTGGGCATTGGCAGCATCCTCAGGTGTGCGGTACTTGACAAAGTGCACCTCCGGCTTGTTGGTGGAGCTGGTCTTCAGAGCGTTCAATTGCTTAGCCAGGTTGGACACATCAGATTGCTTGGTCAGCACATAGATGGCGGTTTCCTGCTGGGCAGACTGCTTGGCCAACTGGAGGGCGGCGCGTTCGAAGCCTTGGTTTTCCGGAGTGCGGATGAAGACTACGCGGAGGTTCTTCTTTAGGGAGTTGGCGATCTGCTGGTTGCTGGTACCCTCATCGAACTGCTCCTCAGGGGCGGCATAGCTGTAGAATTCCTTCTGGAACTCCTCCACCAAAGGAGCTACCTGTGGAGCAACAGGAGCCTGGATCGGCGACAAAACGGGAGCTTCAATGGGCTGGGAAAGCACAGCCTCTCCACTCAGCACGGGCTGCAACAACTGCTGGGGGAGTTCTCCAATCACTTGTCCACTTCCTGGCAAGAAGGACAAACCCTCATCGGCATGGGCCACAGGTTGGTAGTTGTAACCCAGTTTATCAGCACTGCAGCTAGCAGCAAGCAAGCAGAGGACCTACATGATTTGAAGATATAGTATATAAATGTGTTTTTCCTGGCCAAAACCACAAGAGACTTACGATAAAAGCACGCATGATGACTGGAAGGTGCGGTCAATTGAAGATGACAGAAGGAACTAATACTGAAAGCTCAGCCCAATCCGGCTTTTATAGTTGGAGACACAGCTCACAGCCTGCATCTACCCCTCCCACGAAATAAACCCAGTTTTTGGCTAAGAGAGAAAGATCCACTGTTTAGGAACGACCTTGCCTTCGTAGCGTTGTTGATTTGATTTCGATGCCATTCGATCGTCATTAAAATGCCCCATCGTTTAAATATGCAAGCATATGCCCCGACCTAGGCCTATCGCTAGTCCACGATCGTTTGTCTTGGTTTTGATTAAAATGCACTCTGCGACGGTTATAAAGTTTATAAATATGCATGGCCTATCAGGGACTGCGATTGCGAATGCTTCTGCGGCCGATGCTGCCACATTATCTAATTGATTTGTGTTGGCTGCGACAGGCCATAAAAAACAACCATCTGGATGCCGCGGAGAGAGGCCAAAAACGGCAGCCACTGTGTTGAAATGCTTGGAAAATAAACAGCTACTGGCTTTGGCGATAATATCTGGCGGTCGACGGTTGCCAGTTGGTAGTTGCCAGTTGGTACTCCGGGTTGGCCCAGCTTAATCCGGTAATTATAATTTTCATAATTTTCCACAAGCTCGCGTTTTTCTCTGGGCACGGGTCGAAAACGTCAATCTTTTTCGACGGTTCACTTAATGAAGTTCTTTAACTAATTTAAACTTTTTCGGCGTTGTTTGATGGCCAAGGCAAAATAAGAATTTAAAATGTGCAATAGCAGCTGTGTGGGTCGAGAGGTCGTCAGTAAATATGAGAAAGAAATTTATAATTATAATTTTCTTTGGAATTCCTTAGGCAGGTATTAAGATAATTTCCTTACAACGTTGTCTAAGAGATCCTCTTTAAAGTGATGAATTCTTTAATACTATTTTTTTCTATTTTTAAACCATTATTTACAAAGTTATAAAACAAACAATGTCATATTATATTAAGGGGAAAATCGGCCCAACGAGGTATAACATTCTATATTCGGACCATTATTAACTTGGTTTGAGAAAAATAGTGTCATTTTTAGGGGAAAATCGGAGATAACGGATTTTTTTAGTTTCGATAAGGGGTAACAACATCCTTTTTTTTGCAAAAAAATTAATCCAGCTCGACTAGGAATTAGAAAGCAGCCTCAACGAGGTATGCCATTCCGTATTCGGACCATTATTGTCTTAGTTATGGGCAAAATACTGATACTTAGAGGAGGAAAATGGTTGAACATTTTCTTCTCCAAACATGATTTATTGGAAATTAGAAAACAAACTTAACGAGGTATAGTATTTTTTTTGAAATATTTCCCAAAATCTATTTAATCACATATTAATTAAATTGCAATAAAGCAATTAATCAACACCTTTAAGGAAATGTTTTTTTTTTATTTGCATGCCTACACAAAGTAGGGGATTCCCATTGGCCGTATTTCCTAGGATTAGCCATGACTCCACCCAGCATTTGGCCACTCATGCTGGCTATTAGCTGGGTCCGCTGCACAACGAAACTCTTACCAAAGTTGGTGGGCCAACAAAAGCAAAGGCAGCGCCAAAAGTGCGCCTAATTTGGAAATGGCAAGCCAAACAAGCCAACAACCCACGAAAACGAAGAAAAGATTGGAAAACACGCAAACTTGGCAGCTGCTGCTGCTGCTGCTGGATGGAATCCGAGAGTTGGACCTTGGACACACCTGTCCCGAAATTGCAGCAAGTCATGAGTTGCCTCCGGCCAGGACTCAGGATTAAGGCGCTTGGCTCAGTGTTTGGAGATACCGCGAAATAAAAAAAAGGAGACCTGGTGGGTTTAGGGGCGGAATGTTGGAGCGGCAGCTTTGACGTGACTGGCAAAGTTTTTGGCAGGCACCGCTAACGAGCGAAGCTCGTCCTCCACAGCCCAGGATCTCATGTTGCTCAAAAATGCTTAAACTAAAACTTGCTCAACAGATTTGCACTGGCGGGAGCCTTTTTACGGCTGCACTTCGGCGTGTCATATGGCACTGGCATACTGGCACACAGGCACACTGGTGTAAGTGTGTGTTTGACCTTTGACACTAAAACAATTTGCAAAGCGAAATGATGTCAGCCCCAGTGTCCTGTCTATTCCGTTTCTCCTTCTTCTCCTTGTTGTCCGCGTAGTAGTGGCGTAATTTAGTTGAAACATTCTTAAAGTACCGCCTGTCGTAAAATCTAGGGTCCTGGAAGGGATAGCGCTATGCCTTGTCATGTGGGAAGGGATGAACGGCGGGGAAAACGCCCAGCGTAGCTCATTAAAAAGTTTTCCAGCGACAACGGCGACATTTGCTTAAGAAAACATTTGCTCGGCTCTGGCGGCGGGAGTCGGTTACCAACACCTTAATGATTATCTAAGAGATACTTTGAAGATAATCCATAAAGTGTGGGGCGAAAACTCAGAAGTAAAATGTAACGCTGTTATGCTGAGTAATTAATTATTCATAATAGAAAGCTATAGATAAACAGCCACCTTCGACCAGCTCTACAATCCTCGCCATAACAACTGAATGTTTTTTGATTGAAATTTAAATTAAATTTCTTTACAAGAGCTCAGCATTCCAAGTACATTGAGTAATTTATGGACATCCCACTCTTCAAATTAATAGGAAGCAAAAATATCAAAACAAAAAATTGTATCATTAAGTTCGGTTTAATGATTTTTCTTTTAACGACTTTAATCAGAGCAATTATTTTTAAATAACTTCACTGGCCATGAATAATTATGATTTAACGGCTGCTATCGATTGACTTTCTCAATTTCCAATTATGAATTTGACTTTCAATTAAATTCAGAAGTCAACTATCAAAACACAACCTCAACAACCATTTTCATAAAGGTTTTTCAACTTCTAAACTTTGAACTTAGCCCTTCAGATATCTTTGATACTTAATTATTGAAATAAGTCGTTGACGTAAAGTATCGGAATGTGTAATGAAGTAACCGAAAACTTTCCACAAACGCGTGGATATATTTATCGATTTAATCTTTAGGAACACATCAAATGGTTTTAACTAATTAACAATTAATTTAATTAACCTTTAAGCAATCTTTGGCACTAGCCTATAAGTTATTACTAAATTAACGTCTTTTTCCCGGTGGCAGATATTCCCGGAATAGCGCCTGCAATTTGGCAGTTTCCAATTCACTGGCCTGCTCATGTGTCTCGTATTCGTCGCTATCTTTTGGCCGGATCTTAAAGATCACAGGAGTTTCTGTTGGCTGTGGCTTAAGTTGGATAACATTGGCCTTTTCAATAGCATGGTTAATACTATTTCCCGGTATTCGATCATAGTCACTCCTCAACGCACTCAGAGCTCTTGTAACATCCGCAGAAGTTTTGTATTTTACAAAGTGGACAGAAGGTTTATCAGTTGCCTGCTGCTGAATAGCAGCCTGTTGTTGGGCCAGAGCATCTGCATCCGCCTGCCGGTGAAGCACAAAGATGTCCAACGGATTATTGACTGCCAGTTGCTTGGCAGTCAGTGAAAAGAGATTCGTCTCCGGAGTTCGGATAAACACCACCTGTTGCGGCGGGGAGAGCACCTGAGCCAATTGTCTGGCTGATTGCCATGGAGCCATTAGATCCTCCTCCGGTGGAGCTGCGTAGGTAAAGTATTCCGTGGCCAATTTTCCTCCAGTTGATACCTCATTTCCAGCCGGCAGGTAGACATCTCCCAAGCCATGGCTAATACCAAGAAACAGCGAAAGTACCTACAAGAAATTCAGTTGTTAATCTTGAGTTAAGGCCGGCTTTCCTGCTCTCAACTTACCAACAAGGAGTACATGGCTGTGATATTCCGCGCCGGCTGAGTTTTGGCCATTTTTACCGCTCGAAGCGCTGTTTGGTTATAATCCAGTCCCAGCAACAAAACCATCCTTATATACGACACAAACAAATAGCAGTTCGAAAGTAAGCTGACTTCTCGGCCACGGCGTCTCTCGTTATGATTTTATTTTATTTCGCTATTTTTGCATTTTTTGTTTCTATAAAAGATTTCTGCAAACGTTTGCTCTGGTTTTGTGTGTTTGTTTGCCTTTGCCTGCTCCGATTATCCATGTTAATGTCGTTCAATTTTGAAATGCAAATTTCCAGGGGGTTTGCAAGACCCGAAACAAAAGCCAACTCCATAATATTAACAGAAGTGTGGTTGTGCGTCTGACCCGTTGCCCGGCATGAACTTGAATTTAATTCGCATAAAATTTACAAATGAGCTCCCAATTTGAATTAGTTATAAAATATTTTCATATGCTATTGGGTCCCCATTGTTGTCGCCTGTCATAGACGAAGCCATTTGTTTTGTCTATCAGCATTTGCCCCTGCGGCTTACACCTCCGCAGCTCTACTTTCACTCCCCAGGTATTTTTACGGCCGACGTTTTATGGCTACTGATTTGTTAATTTACACGTCATTTTTGATGTTTTAGCAGGTCTCTTCTCTTTTTTTTAAGTCTAGGCCTAAATCTCTGATAAGCTGCTTACCGAAATTAACAACCCCAGCTCAGATCTGGCTGAGAAGAAGAAACAGAAACACAGGTGGCACATTCATTGATATATCTTCGGCTTTATTTGCTGCTATAACTAGTTACCCGTTGGGGTAGTCTTATGGCACTAATTTTATGTCTTAATTTAACAGGTGGGCCTACTTAGAGCCGCAGGCGTTTACCTGGGGTTGGAGATGGGAAGACCATGCGACTTCCCGACCTATGACGCTCATTAGCCCGGAAATCAAAGCGTCTTGATCTGGCCGAGCGGTAGTCCGCATTGGCATCATTGTAGTTAGCTGATAGATCCTGTTGAGCTTCCAGAACGGGTGGCAGATCTATCTGTCCAATGGATGAAGCTCCGGCTGAAGAACCAGCCGCTTTGTAGCCCTGCGAAATGGAGGAGTAACTGGGCAAGGGTGGCAGATAGCCCGACTGTGGTTGATATGCCGATTGTTGAGCTGAGTTAAGATAAGCAGCTTGGGAACCTGGATAGTCTCCAGGACGAGGTTCCTCGTATTGCGGCTGCTGTTCAGGATAATAGCCCAAGGATGATGCCTGCGCCTGCTGTGGAATCGAAGCTCCTCCGCCGTACTGTGCCTGAATATATTGCTGGGCCTGAGCAGCCTCTGCCTCTGTCCTGTACTTTACAAAATGAACCTGGGGCTTGTGTTTGTGCTGTGCCTTCAATGCGCTTATTTCAGTGGCCAATTCATTAGCATCCGTCTGCTTGTTGAGCACATAGATGGCAGTCTTATCCTCGGTGGTTTGTTTGGCCAAGGCGTTGAGAGCACCCACCACAGCCTTGTTTTCCGGAGCCTTGATAAACACCACCTGGAGATTCTTTTCGGACAGAGATGCCAGCTTGGTTTGTACTAAGTCTGCCTCCTCTGCGGAATCATAGGGAGCCTCGAAGGCATAGAAATGCTTATGAAAGTCCGCATTCTGCTGGTAGTGATTTCCAGGCTGAGCTGGATACCTCTCTTCAGCCAAAGTAGCTTCGTTGCCATAGCTATTGACAGCTCCTTCATAACTATTTTGCTGGTACTGGTAACCCAATTCCGCAGAACTGCCAGCCAATAACATGAGAAACTAGGACAGAGATTAGATTAAGCTTTTGTCAATTTGTTAAATTCCAGTTAAACTTACCACTATTCCAAGCATGATATAACCACGATGAAGAGCAAAAAACATTTGTCAGACAATCGCAAGCGTCCAAAGCATTTTATAATTTTTGTGCCCTCAAAAGTGGTCGAAAAAAGCTATCCAAATCGGGACAAACACCCACCATATAGGGTAAATAGTTCAATGTCGCACGAAATTTGTTACAAAATTCGCGATTCCCCCATCGATTACAACACACTTTTATATTAACAATATTTTATTGTGGAGACATCTCGAAATTCGAAAGATTTACTAACTAGGCAACATGGTTCGCAGCGAGTGCGTAGGAATCGTTGATGGGTCATGGGTCAGACTGAGGTCAGTTCAATGGCCTACTGGCGGAAACGAAGGACCGAAGCGGGGAGGTAAGAGCTACCAGGAGCAGAGGGAGCAGCCACGTGCTGGGCAGCGGGTTGAGATGCAAAGTTCAGGACGGGAGCGACGCCTCCGTTCTGGATGGTGGAGGATCCACCCAACTGATCATACTGAGATTGGATGGCCTGCTGGGCGTTGATCGCATCCTGGTTGGTGCGGTACTTCACGAAGTGAACCTCGGGCTTGTTGTTGTTGTTGTTGCGGATGGCGTTCAACTTGTTGCTGAGATCTCCAATATCGGCCTGCTTGTTCAGGACATAGATGGCGGTTTCCTGCTGTCCAGCCTGCTTGGCCAGAGCCACGGCGGCGTTCTCCAGACCAGTGTTCTCGGGTCCCTTAATGAAGATCACACGGAGAGCCTTGTTCAAGGAGCCGGAAACCTGCTCAGAGGCAGCTGGTTCATTAAAGTCCTGCTCATCAGCGGTGTAGGTGAAGAACTCCTTCTGGAGCTCGGCCTGAGGAGCCACATAGTTGCTAGCGACAGCGGAAGGAGCAGGTTCGGGAGCGGCAGCAGGAGCATAGGTCTCGGCGGGAGCATCCTGGATAGCAGCCACCGAAGGAGAGTAGCTGGAGCCGGAAGGAGCGAAGGATGTGGCAATTGGAGCAGAAGCTGCAGGCTGGTAATTGTAGCCACTCCTGGCACTGACGGCAGCTACAAGGCATAGAGCCTGAAAATTGAACAAAGGATCAGTTAGAGCTCCTTAACATAGTTCCTTGATCCTAACAATAGAATACTTACAATAAGGACGCGCATCTTGGTTTTTGGTTTGTAGGTGGATAACTCCGCTCGGATTGCTGGATCGAAGGCAAGTATGTCCAACTCCACGACGCCCACGACTTTTATGCGAAATCAATGCACTTTGGAAATCGTTGATTTTCTTTTTGCCATCATTTGGGTTTTTAATTGGTTGTCTTTAATTTTGCACCTCATTCCGAGCATCGCTCCCTCATCAGCCGATCTCCAGTTTGGCTAATTCCCATTCGTTTTTGTCAACGTGTTTTTTTTCTGCTGTTATCTATTAACTTTGGCTATATCTTTTAGCTGTAGTTTCTTTGGTGTTTTTTTCTTCTTAATCATTGGGTTGGCAAGCATAATTTTTTATGATTTTTCTAAACAAACTTCGCCGAGTTTTCTGCTTTATGCTAATAAGCCGTAGTGGGTGCTCTTGAAAAGAGCTGTCGATGACCACTTTGGCTCTTTGTTATTGGCCATTCATCCGGCCACTCTGTTATCACTCATACATTATGTATGCCGTCTTGGTTCCGTCTTGCAGTTGCCATAAATTTGAGCGCTAATAGTTTGTCTAACCTTTTACTTCACGCAGATTAACATTTTAATTATGATAAAAAATTTTAGTCGATTGTTTGGCCAGCATCCCAAAACATGTAAATTTTTATTGATTTCCACTTGTATTCCATTTGGCGCCATCGCATTGGAATTTTTATGGGCACTCCGGGCATGTAATAAACGCCGAGGTATGCAATTTCTCACTCGGTCCGAAGTGAATGGCTCAACTATCAAAAATTTCCGACATTAAATTGACAACTTTATGGTCCGTTAGCCCAGTTCCCACAGCCAGGACAGAAATAGCCAAAAAGCTAAAGTAAAAGAAGAATTGTATTTGAGGGGTTCGTTCGACAAATCAATAGATAACACAAAAGTCAACAAATGGTTCAGCTAAAAGCTATGGCACTTCTTAGTGGCGATAACGCAGGCGACGGAGCACCGACGAGGGCAGGTACGAGTTCTCGGGGATCTGGGCGGTAGCCTGACGCACTGGTCCGGCGGAGGCGAAGTTCAGGGCGTTGGCAACACCACCGTTAATGGCCTGGCTGGATCCTCCCAACTGGTCGTACTGCGACTGGATGGCACGCTGGGCATTGGCAGCATCCTCAGGAGTCCTGTACTTGACGAAGTGCACCTCAGGCTTGTTGTTCGAGTTGCTGCGGATGGCGTTCAACTTCTGGGCAAGGTCTCCGATGTCGGCCTGCTTGTTCAGGACATAGATGGCGGTCTCCTGCTGGGCAGCCTGCTTGGCCAGAGCCAGAGCAGCGTTCTCCAGACCACGGTTCTCGGGTCCCTTGATGAAGACCACACGCAGACCCTTGTTCACGGAGCTGGCAACGCGTTCCAAAGCCTGGGGCTCATCGAAGTCCTCCTCGTTGGCGGTGAAGGTGAAGAACTCCTTCTCAAGTTCAGCAGAGGGGGCGGGGGCGTTGTAGGAGACTGGGGCGCTCAGTCCAGCGGATCCCAAGCTGGATCCAAAACCAGAGGAACCAAGTCCAGAGGAGCCAAGTCCAGAGGAGCCGAGACCAGATGATCCCAGATCGATAGAGCCACCGCCAAGTCCGCTGTCCAAGCTTCCGAAGTTGCTGCCGCCTCCCAGGCCCAAGGATCCGCTGCCGCCACCCAGGCCCAAAGATCCGCTGCCGCCTCCCAGGCCCAAGGATCCGCTACCTCCGCCGAGGCCCAAGGATCCACCGCCGCCTCCCAGGCTCAGGGAACCGCTGCCAGGAGCGAAGGACAGTCCGGAGCTGGAGTGGCCGACGGGCTTGTAGTTGTAGCCGAGCTTGTCGGCGGAGGCGATGGCCACGAGGCACAGGACGATGAAGGCGCGCATCTTGCTGATTGCTATTCTAGTTGGAGCTCTGAAGTCGGAAGTCAGAATGATGTCGACCTGAGCCGCCGAGCCATTTATATTGCCTGGTCGACACGGGCGTCAATCAGAACAGGCGTATGACAGCGTGCTGGAGATCGCGATAAGGTTCGCATTGTCTGCGGGCCTAACCTGTTTTTCTGTTTTTCTTTTTCCACTTGGCGGCTTTGGTTTGAGTTTGGATTTTGGTCTAAAACCGATGGTGATGCTGACGCTGAAGCAGAAGCCGCGGCGTTGGCGGCGGCGTTGATTAAAATTTGATGAACTTGCAGCTTACGGACAAACAAAATTTTTATGCAAATCAGGCCACAAAGGGCTGGGCGGCGGCAGCTCCAAATTGTCCGACTATGCAGTAGCCGCGTTCTATTGTTCGCCCATTTTGATATGCAAATCGAGCTGGGGATGATTGAAAGTAAAGACTCTGGCCCTCTGGTTTTTGGGCTAATTTCCCAGCTTAATAATTTTAAATTGCTTGCCCCAATGGTTTTTTGACTGTTTGCCCATTGTCGTCTGCCGTCCGATGTCTCGTGCAATTTGTCAAACGTATTGCCATCTCAATTTCGAACCGCGAAGTGCGTGGGCATGGGCAGCCAAGTAGCCGATAAGCCATATGTTATACACCAGATTATACAGATTATCACGCACCGGATTATACAAAACGCTGGCAGAGAAAACATCTTAGGTTTCCGCTCATTTGCAATTTTCACAAACAGCTTAAACGGACGGACTCATAATTCAACGCTGACCGAACTCGTTTGCCAGCCGCCGAATGCGAAAATTCCAAAGCTCAAAGATCCAATTTAATCCGTTAATATGCCTACACTCAAAACAAGTATTCCCTAATTTATAGAGCTTACATTACCTAAAAAAAGTGTTTAAGAATATTCTAAACATGTTTTATGTTTTAAAATTAAATTTAAAGAATCTGCGTTCTGAAAAGTTGTCCCGTGAACTACAAAGTCAAAAATTCGAACATAAATTTAAAGTCAATGTAGGAATTAAATCTTTTTAAAAAATGTTTAATATATGCAAAGTTTATGTCAGCCCCAAATTCAATGAAGATAGGCTTGTATACTCCTAGGAAAAGTGTAGATTTAAGTGAATGAAAACAAAAATAAATAAACTAAAATATTATAGCGTTGTGTTTTCCTTTTCAGCTAACTCATAAGGAAAAGAAAATATATTAGATATGTTAATTCATGTGACGACAAATATGTTATTCACCAAATTAAGCAGATTATCACGCACCAGTTAAAAAAAGAAAAAAAAACAACAAAGAAAAACATCCTAGGTTTCCTCTAATTTGCAATTTTCACAAACAGCTTAGATGAACGGACTCATAACTCATGAGAGGCCGAACCCGTTTGCCAGCAGCAGCATGCGAAAATTCCGAAGCTCAGAAACCTAATTCAAGCCGTTAATATGTCTAGGAATGCTGGCCAAGAAGATCCGCAAGTCAATTTTTAAATTTACATTAACAAACAAATTTATTTCGTCTTAAAATCTCAACAATAACAGAGGAATTTCAAAGGGTACAATGCCTTTGACTTAGAACCGCAGGCGGCGCAGAATGTTGGCGGGCAGGTAAGAGCTTCCTGGAGTGGCAGGGGGTACATAAGAGGAGATGGGGGCAGTGGCCTCGGGCAGGGCGGCGGGCAGGAACTGGGCGGGCGCCTGACTGCTGGCAGCCTGGGCAGGAGCAGGCTGGGAGGCAAAGTTTAGGGTGGATGCAACACCACCGTTTTGGGATTGGCTGGATCCTCCGAGCTGGTCGTACTGTCCCTGGATGGCGCGCTGGGCGTTTGCAGCATCCTCCTGAGTCCTGTACTTGACGAAGTGCACCTCGGGCTTGTTGTTGTTGTTGTTGCGGATGGCGTTCAGCTTGTTGGCCAGATCTCCAATGTCGGCCTGCTTGTTCAGGACATAGATGGCGGTTTCCTGCTGGGCAGCCTGCTTGGCCAGAGCCAGAGCGGCATCCTCCAGTCCACGGTTCTCGGGTCCCTTAATGAAGACCACGCGGAGAGCCTTGTTCACAGCGTTGGCAACCTGGTCAGAGGCAGCTGGATCGTTGAAGTCACCCTCATCGGCGGTGTAGGTGAAGAATTCCTTCTCCAGTTGGGCTTGAGGAGCAGCGTAGTTGGGAGCAGCAGCAGACTGGGATCCTTCCAGAGAGTCGGCAATAGATGATGGACCGGCGGCAAAAGACCCACTGGGTCCAGCAGAGAAGGCTGGGGCATCACTGCTGGCAGATCCAGATGGCTGGAAGCTCAATCCCGAAGCGGAATGAGCCACGGGCTGGTAGTTGTAGCCTAGTTTGTCGGCTCTGGCCAAAACGGCGAGGCACAGGCAAAGGACAACGGAGAACTGACGCATGTTGAGTGGGTGAGCTGGCTGTGGGATTTGATGTCGGTGTGAGATGGTTCTTTGGCTTTTATGCAGATGGAATCCACAGCTATGCAAAGCGCTCTGCATAAAGCGGTTTAATTATGGTCTAAAACCACCTAGATCAGGCAGTACCAGTACCAGTACCACCCTGCTAAAATATGCAAGCGAAGCGGGTGGCTGCACCGTGAGGTCAACTCCGTGGGTCGGAAGGAAGGAGTTGCCATATTTGAGCTACGGCTACGGAGCCGACGCTATAAAACTCATATTAAATTCAATATGCTGCCTTAATCAATAATTCGCGTATTCTTCTACGCCGCTTTTGGCCAGTGTTGTGGGCCAACCTTGCCAATTTGGTATTTTCATGTAGCTTTATCGTTGAAATCAATAAAAATCTGGCAATAAAAAGCCGAGCGGACTGGCCCAAGCATCGTAAACCCCATTTGTGGCAATTTAGATGGATGCGTTATGTTACCGATGGATACGGATCGGAATCTGAATCTGAATCGGAATCTAAATCGGAAACCCAATCCAAATCCGGCCGGGATGAGATGTGTCGCCCAAATCGGTCGGAGAGCAAACAAAACGTTTGACAGGCCGTTTCATATGCAAATGAGGCGCGCCTAGTCGCGTTACTGCTGCCAAAAATAAATATTTTAACGATTCGCCAAATTATTATTGCCTTATTCAGCGGCTTTGTCTCGGCATCTTGGCCGTTGTGTTAGCTGCTTTATGCAAATGTAGCGGGTGGAGGCGACCTTCCATCCGCCGGAAGTGAAGAAGCGGATTCATCGCTAAATATAGCCGCCATCTTATATTTTTTGTTTTTTTTTTTTTTTTGCTATATTGATCGGCTAGGCCGGTCGCTAATTAACAACTGCACTGCTGCGCCTTGTCAGCGCCGAATCAGATAATTCGATAATTGGTCTCTTAATAAATTACTTGGCGCCATCTGATTTGGCAATCCGAAGCGCGGACTGCGAACCCCCTAAAACAAAACAAACACAATTCCAAAACTGTCCAATTCTGGCTAGCTCCTAATTTGCATGTCGCTCTTCGTCGAACCAAAAATATCACGGTTTTATGTGCAAAGCCATGCAAATATTTGCAACCGCAGCGACAGTGTGACGAATCATAAAAATATATTATAAAGAAACCGCATTTTAATCTCTTATTTATGCATTTTTAAGGCAAATTTGAACTCTTCATAATTCATATCGCTTCATAATGCAGCCGAAGAACTGAATCTTGCACCTATAAAAGCAAAGATATCGGCGAGATAAGTCAGTAACCAATCATCTTTGCAAACCAAACAATCAACATGCGTTCCTTCCTCGTCCTTTGCTTAATTGCCTTGGCCACGGCCGACAAACTGGGATACAACTACCAACCGGTGGCCCACTCTTCTTCGGGATTGAGCTTCCAGCCATCTGGATCTGCCAGCAGTGATGCTCCCGCCTTCTCTCCTGGACCCAGTGGATCTTTTGCCGCCGGTCCATCATCTATTGCTGACGCCCTTGAAGGATCCCAGTCTGCTGCTGCTCCCAACTACGCTGCTCCTCAAGCCCAACTGGAGAAGGAATTCTTCACCTACACCGCCGATGAGGGTGACTTCTACGATCCAGCTGCCTCCGACCAGGTTGCCAACGCTGTGAACAAGGCTCTCCGCGTGGTTTTCATCAAGGGACCCGAGAACCGTGGACTGGAGGATGCTGCTCTGGCTCTGGCCAAGCAGGCTGCCCAGCAGGAGACCGCCATCTATGTCCTGAACAAGCAGGCCGACATTGGAGATCTGGCCAACAAGCTGAACGCCATCCGCAACAACAACAACAACAAGCCCGAGGTGCACTTCGTCAAGTACAGGACTCAGGAGGATGCTGCCAATGCCCAGCGCGCCATCCAGGGACAGTACGATCAGCTCGGAGGATCCAGCCAGTCCCAAAACGGTGGTGTTGCATCAACCCTGAACTTCGCATCCCAGCCCGCTCCTCGCGAAAGTGCCTCTGCCAGTGCTCCAGGACCAAGCTACTTGCCCGCCAACATCTTCCGTCGCTTCCGTTTGTAAGCGCTAACTGCCAGTTGTTGATTTGTTGCCTAGTTATCATGTTGCTTTATTCTATAAATAAAACGAAAATTTATAAATAACCCTGTCTGACTCTTATTGATAATTCTGGTCTTAGCATTGCACGCTTCACTTACTGTGAACGGTGTGAGATGGCCAAATGTACTTATACCTTTGAATTTTCTAAAGGCACACATTTAAAAAAGTGAAAATCACAAAAAAAAAATAAAACAATAGGGTTACGAATTTTTATTTTATTAATTGATACGAACCATTTCCAAAAATAGTTCGGATGTCATATATTTATTTTTTGTTAAAAACAATAAAATCTATGGGCCACCACAAAATATTATAATGTAGGTATTAGGGTGGACATCTTTTAACCAGAAGGCAGACAATAATAAACAACCTTATCCTTGAAAAACTATTTCACAACATCCGATAATCGAATTGGTAATCATTTTTATACGTCTTAGGTTTCATTAAAATTTTCTTTTTAGGAAAAAAACAATTTCGTGAAAGGGATTAATTACGTTCAGGAAATAAAAATATTTAAAGGAATAATTATTTTATGGTAAAAAATAACACTTTTTGAATACTAACTTTAAAATATAAATAAATCTTGAAAACAACAAAATATTTATTTCATATTTTTCTATAGTATTTCTGAATTGCGTTAAGAAGAGGTCTCAAAATAAGCTCCACTATTCATAAAAACATGGAATATGAAAAACCTTCAGATTCATTCGCTAAGCTTCGGTGACACAGCTTATGGTTAAGTTTTTTAAAAATGAGAAATATATCATAATTTTCTATAAAACATCCTTATTTTTTAAGAGACAAAGTTTTTTGCTATTAGGGACTCATTAGTATAGTTTCGGCGCATCCATTAATGTACCATTTTATACTGACGCAATCCGAAGTGTCTGGCTCTTATATAGGGGATTCGCTTGGAATTCCCAGGCTATTTTAAACAGGTTTCTGCAGAGTTCAAAGTAAGCTTCCGACATTCTTTTTGACTTTGAACCCCAAACTAAAAAGTTGCTTGAAATTCTAGACCCACTTTCGATAGTGAAAAAGCGACAAACAGAAAACGACAAGAAATCATAAACTATCAATGGATCGGCATAATAGTATGCATAGATTAAGTTTTTATCGATTCGTAGGCGGAACTCGAAAGAATGCATCACATTGTGTTCGGCTTTAACGACCGTCAGAACATTTATAGACGGCTCTTACTTTTTGTGAAAACGGGTTTGATAGTTTTGCAGCATTTTCCCCAAAAATCGAATTCCGGGCAGTTTTGGCCCGGTCAAGAATAGATCGCGGCGCCATGAACCGGTCGAGAATTTAGCTTTTGCAATTGGTCAGAAAGTCTGGGGTCGCCGACTGGATGGATCTGGTAGAATGTTAGGATAGTTTTGCATAATCATTTCATAAGCGCACCGCTTTGCATAAAAAACTAGTTGAATTATGGAGCAACCAGACGGGAATGGTGTCGGTTATTGTTCTAAGGCGGTTCTAACTACTCCAGAATGGGTATAAAAGCTGCTTCCCTCGATCTCAGGATTCAGTCTTGGCCTTTGCCTGTTCAGCACACCTAGCACTAAAACAAATACTAAACATGCGTTTCCTTATCGCCTTCTGCCTGATTGGTGCCGCCTGTGCCCAGTACAACTATGGAGCGGGATTTTCTGGAGCCGCCTCCGATAATGTTCCCAGCTTCGCCGGAAACGGTGTGGGTGACTACAGTGGTGCCGCCAGCAGCCCGGACTACTCGGTATCCAGTGAACTGAACAAGGAGTACTACACCTTCGAAGCCGATGAGAGCCAGTTCGAGGATCCCTTGGCTGCCCAGAAGATCGCCGGTTCTGTGAACAAGGGACTGCGGGTGGTGTTCATCAAGGGACCCGAGAACCGTGGTCTGGAGAACGCTGCTCTGGCTCTGGCCAAGCAGGCTGCCGAGCAGAAGACTGCCATCTATGTCCTGAACAAACAGACCGACATTGGAGATCTGGCTCAGAAGTTCAATGCCGCCCGCCAGAATGCCAACCAGCGTCCTGAGGTGCACTTCGTCAAGTACAGGACTCCTGAGGATGCTGCCAATGCCCAGCGTGCCATCCAGTCGCAGTACGACAACCTGGGAGGATCCAGCCAGTCCATCAACGGAGGAGTGGCCAACGCCATCAACTTCGCTTCCGCTGCTCCCGCCGCCCCTGCCCGTCATGGAGCCAACTACTCTCCTCCTGCCGCCGCCACCAGCAACTCCTACCTGCCAGCCAACATCCTGCGTCGCCTGCGCATCCGTTAAGAACCAATAAACTGACAGTTGTTAAATGTGTTGTAGAAATGTAATTGACTAAAAATAAAACGAAAATCTATATAAACCAATACCTTGTACTTTGTATACCTAAGATCTAGATTTTCTAAATTTCTGGCTTTGTCAGCAGTTATTGCATTTTTATGCTCAAGTTGTTTGTGTGTTTTTTATCGATTTTCCTTATAATAACATTTATGCAAAGCTGAATTGCTCTGCGAGACCGAACAAAAGCCGAGCGCTGCCTACTTTGTAGGCGGAAAAAACATTTAGCAGCATCAGCGCTTTGTCTTCGAGAAGCTGCGCCGCCAGCTTCGAAGTTGGGTTAGTATAAATAATAAACGCCGTCGTGGTCATAGGCAGAAGCAATTTGTGCTCCGAACTAAGAGAACCTCAACAACAAACTAAAGATGCGCGCCTTCATCGTAAGTTGTTTAGCGGTCAGGACTTTCTTTCAAATAAGAACTAATGGATTACTCTTGATTCCTCTAGGTAATGTGCCTCGTGGCAGTCGCCTGCGCCGATAAGCTCGGCTACAACTACCAGCCCGTGGGCCACTCCAGCTCCGGTCTGTCCTTCGCTCCTGGAAGCGGAAGCATTGGAGGTGGTTCCATCGGCGGCGGTTCCATTGGAGGAGGAAGCATTGGAGGTGGCTCTATCGGAGGTGGCCTTATTGGAGGTGGTTCCATTGGCGGCGGTTCAATCGGCGGTGGCTCTATTGGTGGTGGCATCGATTCCGGTCTTGGCGGTCTTGGTGGACTCAGCGGTCTGGGAGGTGGCGATGCTCTGAGCGCCCCTGTCTCCTACAACGCCCCCGCTCCCTCTGCCGAACTTGAGAAAGAGTTCTTCACCTTTTCCGCCAACGAACAGGACTTCGATGAGCCACAGGAACTGGAGCGTGTTGCTGGATCCGTCAACAAGGGACTGCGTGTGGTCTTCATTAAGGGACCCGAGAACCGTGGACTGGAGAACGCTGCTCTGGCTCTGGCTAAGCAGGCTGCCCAGCAGGAGACTGCCATCTATGTCCTCAACAAGCAGGCTGACATTGGAGATCTTGCCCAGAAACTGAACGCCATTCGCAACAACAACAACAACAAGCCCGAGGTGCACTTCGTCAAGTACAGGACTCCTGAGGATGCTGCCAATGCCCAGCGCGCCATCCAGTCGCAGTACGACCAGTTGGGAGGATCCTCCCAGGCTCATGATGGTGGTGTGGCCCCCGCTCTGAACTTTGCCTCCGCCGGTCCAGTCCAGAAGGCCAACGCCCAGATCCCCGACAACGCCTACCTGCCCACTTCGGTCTTCCGTCGCCTGCGTTTCTAAGAAGGCTGCCCTTTGGACTTTAATAACTTAAGCAAATATCTACTGAAGATTTCATTCTTCCTGTTACACGTTGTTGACTAATGCATAATTACACAAATAAATTTGAAATTTAAAAACAAAATTCGAACAAAGGTCTTCTTTATGTGTTTTATAGAGTGGCATTTTTATTGCGGTTTTGTCATAGAAGCTAATGGTGCATTAAATCCGCCTTGTTCGGCAAGCTTGTTTGCGGATGGCTTAAATATAAACAGTGCCCTTCAGACTATAAATATCTCAAATAGACGACATCAAGATAAGGAAGGTAGATCGGAGCATGTGTTTCTTCATGAGTTTTATCCGGCGATTCAGATTCCGTCACTCTCCATACAAAACGCTGGACTAATTATCTGACATAGCGAGCTCGCATGCCGCCAAATTAATTGTCTACAAGATTAAAGCCACCCACTTTAACCTGGAGGGAAGACATTAATATCGATCTCCCGGCTCTACGGGGGAACTGGTTCTTCTTCCGATGACAGCTCAAGGTCGCGAAGATGCCAACAACTGTTAGATGACCTGGTTTCCGAGGCCCGTCGTGTGTCACGTACAATTAGAAAGGAATCTCAAGTGCAACCCACATACGAAGACAATGAAGATTTATGCCCAATCGAAACCTGATTAGCCATAAAAACAAAATCTAATCATTAATTTTATTAAGCTGACGATCACTTTTTTGTTGAAATCATTAACAAATAAGCGGTTCTGTATACATATTCAAGCAAATATAACAAAACAATCGGACTAGCCAGCCATCCGAAGATTGCAAGAGCCGAGAGGTTGGTTTTTTTTTGTTTTTGTGCATAAATTATAAGCCAATTATGGGTGAATCACGATAGTTCGGAAAACGACTGGACTCGCACTCGGGTTTTAAGCTCGGAATCGGAATCGAAATCGCATCTCAAAGTCGGCGGCGCTATTGAAGCTGCCTTTGCTCAAAACAATGTGTTAAATGTGTTAAGAGCGAAATTATGTTAGCAGATTAACAGCATTCCGAAAACCCGATGGCCAATAGCCACTGGCCATTCACGAATCACGATTCGAGAGCGGAGATCGATGATCGCCGTGTTCCGCCAGAGGGACCCCGATGCGACTAGACGGCTCAATTGACTAGATTTTCTAGTCTAATTTTAAACGTCCCTGCGTTGGCGGTATAAAAGGTAGATAATGAATACTATATTATTCATTCCTCTAGAACACTTCGTAGGCAACAGGTCGAAATGCGTGCCCTTATTATTCTAAGCATTGTGGCGGTGGCAAGTGCCGGAAGTTTATCCGGCTATAATTACGGCCAAGGTTCCTCCCCTAGTATTGGAGGTGGTGTATCCCAGTCCGCTGCACTGGCTGGACCAGTGAGTTACAGTGCCGCTCCCCAATCCTCGGTTCACAAGGAGTTCTACAGCTTCTATGCCAATGATGCCGACTTTGAAGATCATGGTGCTCTGCAGAAGGCTTTGTCGACCATTAAGAAGAATGTCCGTGTCATCTTTATCAAATCGCCGGAGAACCGTGGTTACGAGAACGCCGTTTTAGCTCTGGCCAAACAGGCTGCCCAACAACAGACCGCCATCTACGTGCTCCACAAACAGACTGACATCAACGAGCTGGCCCAGAAGTTCAATGCCGTGCGCCAGAATGCCAACAAGAAGCCGGAGGTACACTTCGTCAAGTATCGCACTCCCGAGGATGCTGCCAATGCCCAGCGTGCCATCCAATCCCAATACGATCAGCTCGGCGGAACCAGCCAGTCTGTCAACGGTGGCGTGGCAAATGCCATCAACTTTGCCTCCCAAGGAGCTGCTCCAGTTCGTGCAGCTCCACAGCAGGCTCCCCAGAGCAACTACTTGCCAGCCTCCATCCTAAGCCGCCTGCGTCACTAGGGAATCTCTTTGTTAAACTTTGTTTTCGAATAAAAATTATTTAATTTGGTTATCTAAAATATTGCGTGGTTTTCATTGCTGCTTATGACTACTTCTATAAGTTGTGGTTCTCTAGCTCCACAATAAACCGTAACTATTGCATTTTTGAAAATTTTTTGTAATATATGAGCGAAATGAGCTGAAAAAATATAACTAAAATAAATATTTGATATATGAATTTTATACTTGTCGGTTTTCAATGCCATATAGCTAATGCCATGTCATAGCTAGTCATATTTATAATGTAGTTAAGAGACCCCAAAAGGTATGCAACGTAATTTAATAATTTTTCTTACATATAAATTGAAGCAAAAAAGCGTAATCAAGAGCAAATACCAAATAAAGACACATATATCCATCAGCGGCCTTTAGTTTAAAGTGTAATATAGTTGAAATATTATTAAATAATGGAAGGACGAATGTACTTTTGCGCCCAACTTGATTTAACTTTCAAAGTTTGAAAGAAAAATAATTCGCGAAAATAAATCTGAACTGCAAAGTTTCTTTTCCATCGAACTAAAGGAGCAAAGTTTTTGGTTTAAAAAAAAGCAATACAAACTATTAAATTGGTTTAAAATTTAAGGATTGAATTTATTTAAGCATTAGTCAACAATAACTAGGTTTTAAAATCAGTCAAAGATCGCTGGCGTTTGCGATTCAGTGAGGAGTGAAACGAGCGACTTAGACGCGACGGAAGACCGAAGAGGGCAGGTAGGAGTTGTCGGGGCTCTGGGCGGTAGCCTGACGCACTGGTCCGGCGGAGGCGAAGTTCAGGACGGGGGCAACACCGCCGTTGTGGGCCTGGCTGGAGCCTCCCAGCTGGTCGTACTGACCCTGGATGGCGCGCTGAGCGTTGGCAGCATCCTCCTGAGTGCGGTACTTGACGAAGTGCACCTCGGGCTTGTTGTTGTTGTTGCTGCGGATGGCGTTCAGCTTGTTGGCCAGATCTCCAATATCGGCCTGCTTGTTCAGGACATAGATGGCGGTCTCCTGCTGGGCAGCCTGCTTGGCCAGAGCCAGGGCGGCGTTCTCCAGTCCACGGTTCTCGGGTCCCTTGATGAAGACAACGCGCAGGGCCTTGTTCAGAGCGGAGGAGACGCGCTCCAGCTGCTGGGGCTCATCGAAGTCCTGTTCGTTGGCGGTGAAGGTGAAGAACTCCTTCTCCAGCTCGGCAGCTGGGGCAGGGGCGCTGTAAGAGACGGGGGCACTCAGAGCCTCACCACCGCCGATGCTGCCACCACCAATGCTACCAAGACCACCCAGACCAGCACCGCTGCCAATGCTGGCTCCGATGGAACCACCTCCGATGGATCCACCTCCGATGGAGCCACCTCCGATGGAGCCACCTCCAATGCTTCCTCCGATGGAGCCACCTCCAATGCTGCCTCCGATGGAGCCACCTCCAATGCTGCCTCCGATGGAGCCACCACCAATGGATCCACTGCCAGGAGCGAAGGACAGGCCAGAGCTGGAGTGAGCCACGGGCTGATAGTTGTAGCCGAGCTTATCGGCGCAGGCGACTGCCACCAAGCACATAACCTGAAGAACAAAACGGCATTGTAATCCTTTGTATCCTCTAAACGTACTCGTCCATCGACTTAATACTTACAATGAAGGCACGCATTTTGAATTTAGTTCTTTGACTTTGACCACTTGGTTGTGTCTGACGTTTGCATCACCGAAAGGTCCAATATTTATACGAAAACCAACGATCGGTGTCACTAGACTGCGCTCAAGTTCATGCAGACTTACCACCGTTGTTTTTGTTGGCTTGAAGCATTTTTTGAGTAACTTCTTCGGCAGCTTTTGTCTCTTGAAATGCTATCCACCTTCGAAAGACGACGTTGGTGCGATAAAACAATGGCCAAGCCGTCGTGAACAAAGCGCATCGATATCTTGCCGCCCTATTCTTGCACATGCTGGCGTCGACATTATGCAAATTTCTCGATCTCTCAGTCGAAGGCGCAGTACCATCTTCAAAATTATTTAGGCAGAAGACCTAGCCGTCACTTTGTAATCCAATAGGGCAGGCTCTTAGGCAGAGGAAACGGCCAGAAAGCTGAAAACTCGTTTAGCAAAAGCCACAATAAATGGTCATGCTTTCAGTAAATGAAATGATTTTCTTCATATTTTATATGCTAAAACATTTGGCGGAGCACCATCGAAACGAGTTCGGAAACGACTTGGTTTTTCTACACTTTTTAGTTGGTCCAGCCACATATTTCTAGCTGGGAATTCCCAGCGATTATTGCGTCCCCCTTTGGTATTTGGAATATGGTATATGGTGTATGGTATTTGGGACTGATTGCTGCTCTAGGGTTTGGCCATTTGATATCTAAACAAAAATCATTGGTTTACATTGGACGCCGCTGGAGGAAACAATGGCTCTAAAAATTGATAGAAATCAATTTTCGCCAGCCTTTTTTGCGCATCCATTCATTCATCTATCCATCCATCTATCCATATATTGGTCTGTCCATCTGTCCGGAGCTCATCGCTCGGCCATTTAACCTGTGGCAAAAAAAAATGAGAAACACGGCTTTGCAAAATAGAAGCCATAAAGTTAACAACCGTTGCGACCTTGATGTTTTTTACTGTTTACCAGCACCCGAAGCTACTCGGAATTCGGCGGTAATCAGCTGGCGCCAGGCGACCATTTAATCTGATCAGCGATTATCACGTTTTTCATCATGGTTTATTGATATCATAAAAATTATTGTTTTTTATTTTGGCAAATTTCAGGCGAGAAGAGGAGCAGGGGCAGCAACAAAATCGCTGAAAACTGATTTGATTTGCATAATTAAAGAGCCCCATCTGAGAAATACCCAAGATCCATATTTAAGATAGCCGAACCGATTTGCAAATCAATATGACTAAGATATTGATTGATATCACGGATAACTATAGCGATGAGTAACCCCAAGATCTGGTCACTGAGGAAATCCGTTAAGATTCCAAGACCATTTCCATGATATCACTATGTTTCTTTCTGCCAAACACACGACTCTTTCGTTCTATATCTGATGATGGTATATGGTAAATGACTGACCCTCCCCTCTTCCCTTGGCCAGAATCTAATCAAGATTCACACTCGAGGCAATAACCTAAAGTCAAAAACAATTTGTCTTGTCTTTTTGTGTGGTGGCCCCACCTTTTGCCCACCGCCAACAGTTGCGGATCGCACCGACCAATGGCCATCTCCGCTGCCAGCAGCTCAGCCAAGTTAGTCGCTGATGGCAATGTCATATGCAAACTAAACAAATGTAAACACAATAAAACAAACCAGCTACAATTTCAAGGTCTCGGGCGCCACACGCACATAAAAGATGCACGCAGCAGCGACATAAAAAGTGGTCGAAAAGCGGGGAAGAGTTTCCAGCTCCGCTCCGAATTGAAGATAATAGCTCTCGGACGACGTTGGCGTATCAATAAATAAATAAAAAGGCGGCCCCGCCGGACCACAAAAAGATAAAAAAAAAAGAAACTCCGGGAGGGAATTTCTGGCAACGCTTTATGCAAATGGCTTTGGGGTTCAATCGATCTATTTACAAAATCTGTCACTGTTTATTATTTCTTACATTATTTTTGTCTTTCTCTGAGCTAGACAACACAAGCCTATATTATTTTATTGCCTTTGTTCTGGCACACAAAAGTCAAAACGAATAAAATTGTGCACTTAATTTATTCGACTATCACCTGGCGGCGGGTGTTAAAACCGGGCGGTGCCTTTCAGGTGCAAAAACCCAATCGAATCTGTCGCCTCACCATAAATTGGAGCATTAGTAATTTTCTTAAATCATAAGCTTTATCTTCACAATAGAATCATTTGCAAGTTAAAGCCCAGTTAAACCAGTTTGTTTGCTTCTTGCCTTTCTTTTGCAGAAATGTTTGGGGCTGTCGGCTTTTAGAACTCTTTTACGAGCAGACATCTTGTTCTATTCTATTCCTTTTCTTGATTTGTTTGTTTTTTCCAAATTCAAAATTGTTTCCGCATACCGGGCGGCAAATAAAAATATGTTTTACCAAAAAAAGCTGACTGACTAGCCGCAAAACCGTTTGGCTGTGCAAAAAAAAAAGAGGAAAAACATATGCAAATATATTAAATTTGATATGCAAATAGGCGATATCAATTATTGCAAGCTCAAAAGCCCGACCCAAAGCGAACCGAACTGAAACTAAACTAAAGCTTATGCTAAAAAAAAGCGATATTTCAAAAAAACCTGGCCGAGAGTGCTGAAAGGAATAAATCAAATCAAATTTCGCCGAGCTGGCCAATTTGTTTAGCAAATTGTGTTAGCGATAAAAACATTTTGTATTGACAATCAAACGGCAACGACGACAGATGCTGATTATTATTATTTTGCGTGTTTATATATATTTTTTGCAACCAGCTAAGTGGCCGAGATTATTTATTAAAAAGATGAGCATAAAAGAGATTTCTGTTTATGCGCGTTAATCAGCCGAAAAAGCCCCGCGAAATTGACACCACAATCAAACATCGGAAAAGCAAGTAGACAAAGCTGGCTTACTACTAGGAAAAAATATAGAGAAAAGAAAAAACCGTGGGCACAAAAAACAGGCAAATAAATTCCCAGCTTATTGTGCAATCCCTGGCGCCCCCAAGAAGGCAATAAATTATTCTCGAGCCTCCCTAGTACGCATCGTAAGCCAAAAACACAAATATTTATCTGCTTTATAGTGCATATTGTCGTCGGCTCTTGAGCTCTCCATTTTATTTTAATTGCAGGCCTGCCTTTGCGTAATGCCAGCTTAATGTCCCAGTTTTCAGGATACTAGCTCTTTACGAGCAACAGCACGGTCCCAGTGCAAATTGTCGTTTAATTTATTAAGCAGCGACTATGCCGGCTTTTAATATGAATATGTGTGCAAAACACTAATTACAGATACACCACGCCCATCCCCCAGCCCTCCTAACATGTATATATAGTAATTAGAAAATAAGAACACATAGGCGTAAATATTGCGCCAGTTCGCGTCTCGCTGGTTGACATAAATTTTGAGCAACGCTGCGTATACGTAATGAAAGCAGACTCACAATCAAGCCAACGGAATAAATCTGTTGTAGAATGAATACCGGGGGAAAATCAACTATGGAGAGCAAGGCCAGCCACGACTTTTAGTTGTCCAAAAACTGGTTGACCCAACTATCACCTGGCTGACCTGGTCTTTCCCAGTCCATTTCGTTACTCCCTCTACCTCGTCTCGAAATTTATCGGCAACTTGAACTTGAAGATGTCGCCATTCCCATTTGCATTTCTAATGAAAACGTCACCAGAACTCGAAGCTGGTGTAGCGTAGAGCTTTGTTTTTAGGTCGACAGCGAGAATTAACATATTTACATAATACCGACTAGGTGCACCCCGTAGAGTGGTTGTTGTGTGAAATATGCTGAGCCGAGAGCCCAACTCTTGCTTAATTGAGGCAAATATTTTCACAATTCATTTGGGAGAAGTGATGGTGATGGTCAGGGTGGCTTAATGTGTTCTTGTTACACTCCAAGTACATTTCGGAAAAGTGTCTAATGTTTCCACAGGACGACAGAGAATGAGTGTTTGCCTGTTGACAATAATTTGGATTTTTAGCATGCTCGCTCTCGTGTTGTTAAATATTTTTGCAAGTAATTCCATCAGCTCGTTTGGAATTTGATTTTATGACATGCTTGACTTCAACGAAGGGCTGAGTGCGTATACTTGATATGCTTTAAGAATAGCTTTAGCTTTTGCTTAGCCGGGGGCTGTTATATTGGGTATTCCTTGGCGCCAACTTGGCATCCTGCTGGTCCCGCCCCATTATGCGCCGCACATGACAATGAGAACGAATCGTGGGCCCATCCCGGGATATCGCCCATTGCCCGCACTTGTCACGTCCGAGTCAATGGGCATGGCCATCGGGATTGGGAAAGGGTCGGGGTTAGAAGTCAGCAGTCAGGAGTCATAGTTACGAGACCGGGGAGCGCGTTAAGTGATGCCGTGTTGTTCCGTTAAAAGTGACTTTAGCACGTGTGCCGTCCACGTCAGATCAGCATCAACATCAGAATCAGCATCACCATCACCATCGTCCGCATTGGCATCGGCTTCGGCTTCGGCATCAAACCAACTTGGCGAAAGTACGCCAACGGGGGAACTAGCAAACGGTCTAATAACAATTCCTGGAACGTTTTTGGACGTTTCTATGTATGTAGTCGTAGTTTCAAGACGATGTTGCGTGGTTTAATCAATCAGCAAACTAGTTGCACGTGCTCGTTGGATTTGAGTTTGACTTAAAGGAGCTGCCGGAGGGAATGGACACTTTCGGCTTAGCCGGCGTAATTTATGAACTTGGTCTGGCTTATTATTGGAAATTTCATAAATTATTAGCCGGGGTTATCATGTTTGACAAACATTGGATGGCCTTCGTTGTTCGTCGCGTACGTGAGCAGGTGACAGATCTATCAGACCCGCTGACATGCATACTATGGGTATTCGAAATAGGAATGGGAATTGGAATACATTCATATCCTGCCACACGCAGATACTTTTTGCCCTATCAATAAGCCTCGAAACAGGTCGCAGTTGTTTTGGCTTTTACCGCGCGTCACGTTTCAAATTTATTACACACAGAAATTCTTCAATTTGGGCAACGCCTGTCAACTCCCCTCAATTTCGCGCTGGGCGTTGGGTTGTTCTTTTCCTGAATGGTTTCCAGCAGGACGTAGCG